TAAACTGTTTAAATTGTTTGCATATTTATATGTCTTAATGAGCCGATAAATGATTTAATTTATAATGCCAATTTAAGAATGAAACAATCGTTAGTTTTAAGAAAATGATGAATTTCAGCCGTCCGAACTGCTTGACGAGCCCACTACTTTTTCGGCAAGTTGAAGAAGAAGGCCGGCCGGTGACCCCAATCACAGCTCCAGTGATTATACCAGTTTCGAAATGTTCCAGTGCAATATCCAGCAGTCCTGTAACGGGCGATGATACGAAAATTTCACTAAAGAATTTTGAAAACCTCGAATTCATACTTACAGAAGACGATCTAGATTGCTGTGATGATTCAAAAACTAGCGAAGAAGTCGAATCAGAAAAGTCCCTGGGATCAGATAAAATCAAGCACGTCGAGTCAGCTTCATTAGTCGATTCCACTGCAAGTCAACTACAATTGGCAATCACTGACAAAACTGACCTTAGCAAAATTAATGATGAACCACTGAAAATAAACGAAATGCAATCACTGAAATATTTTGCCAGCGAATCAGATGATTTTAATCCGAAATCAAACGATCATGAAAGATCGGAAATATTTTCCAACACTCGTGCAAAAACAAATGGCAAATTATATGATATTGAAGGAATTGAAGAAAGCGCTAAAGACGAAGAAAAAATTATTCGAAAGTCGAATAATTTTTTTAATGAAAAATTCTCATCGTCAAATCAAATGTAAGTATTCTTAGATTTTTTTATTTCCGATTTAATCTGTAATTTTCTCTCCTTTCCGCTCACCTTTTCTGGTTGAAATCGCTCCGCAGACCTGTCAAACGTTGCAAATGGACAAATTTTTGCAAGGGATTTAGTTGGTGGTAGAAGTTTAAGCGAGTTTAGGTGAATCGCCAATGTCAGCAGGAAGGAATATATTTTTATTTTTCTATATTAGGAAAACACTTCACTGCTAGTTTTTTGAAAATATGACCGCTTCCTTTCGATAATTTTATCAAAAAATCTAAAATATTTTGCATTATTTGAAATGATTTTTTATGGTCTTCGCAAGAAAAAAATTCCGAGAAAACTTAAAGCGGACAAATAGCTTTGACAAAATTTTGCATTCATTCATTTTTGCTCAAAGGATAGGAACCGACTTGTTTTGCTTGTTAACTTGTCAACCTCAGGGACTCCACTCAGTTTTGCTTGTTAACTTGTCAACCTCAGGGACTCCACTCAGTCACTGTGACATGACTCATAATATTTTTGCTCATTTTTAATTAACTAACGAAATAAATTGTCTTATTTAGTAATAACTGCTTCATATGCCTAATTTATATGTCTAGTTTTAAGAGAAGATTAGGCAAATTATTTAGTTTTTTTCATTTATAATTCGAGTCTAAAAGTTTCTGAAAAACAACGATTCCTATTTGTTTAGCGGTTTTCTAGGTGTGAAAATTCGAGGCCATGCTCAGTGACAAACGCATACCAGTGGCAAGTCTCAAATTCTTCAGCTAATAATTCCACCGAAAATTCTAGTGAAAAGCCGTCGTCGTCCAGCCATTATTCGACGCAACCGTTTTTGCCATCTTCCTTGCGATCGTCAGCTGCCGAATCACTATTGCAGAATTCAGCTAGGGGTTCGATTACATCCGCGACTCTTCCACTGTCATCCTCCGCCCAGCCTACTTATCCACCGCCTGAAAGGTCATTCACTACCACTTCCACATCAGAAACACCTCAATTAACGCCTCGAGTTCCAATGAAGGTCTTTACGTCGTCAGTATGTCCCACTTCTCCTGAATCACTTAACCATGTCCAGTTTACTCAAACAATGAGAAAACATGGAGCAATGGAACATGCAGTTAAAACATCGTCCAAAATTGCATTTGGCACATTATATGATCAAATCAGTGGAGTATCTTCGCTGTCGGATTCTAACAAATCATCTCAAATTCGAAGTAAACGATTTTCTCATGTGAATGAATTGATCGAACAGGTAACCATCGTTTTGGATCTTTTTATTATAAACCACAATTTTTTTATTTATTAACTAAAAGTGATAATTTATTGCACAAATATTGTTGATAAGAAATTGTTGGTAGAATTAATGATAATGATTTACGCATAATGATAGGCGAATTATTCGTTCATTGCTCCTATTCAAAGAAAAAAATATTTCTATAGCAATTTCTTTTTTTTTTTTGATGAATTTTGCGATATTTATCAACATTTAGTGCAACATCGTTACGTGAAAATTGAAAGAAAAAATGAATTCCTTGCTAATTTTATTGAAAAATTACAATAACGTCGTTGATTGCCATCAATATTACTAAATTATTATGCCTGAATTGATATAGTCAGAAGAGATTTTCAATGTATAGATGGCCTGATATGTGAACTTGGATGGTGAAAAAGAGTGCCTTCCGCTGCTCCTGAATATGGCATCAGGTCGAGCAGCACGAACCCTCTCACCCTCATAGCCAGAGGAGCCCATCTAACCAACAATGATATGAGCTGTTAAAAGAAGAGTTACCGCAAAATAGACCTGAAGAATTTAGTTAAATAACAAAATAAGAGCTAATACTTTAAAAGAAATCAGTAAAAATATTCATTATTCTGGGAAAAACTATTTTTCTAACAGCTTTTATTTGAAGTGGTTATAAATTACTTTTTCTTAACCTCATCTCTACATTAATATAATTCAAGAAATGAAGTAATGAAAAGAATTCCAGTTTTCTAAAATCGATGAAGTACCCGTATGTCCACCAAAAGAGAAAACTTACAATACGGCGACGAAGCGTAACGAATTTCAAGCGCAACCACTTAATCCGGCAACTCGTTTAACGAGTGGTGCTCAGAGAATTGGATTTTCTGAGAAATCTCCAAATTCGCAACCTTTGTCGTTAGCGAAAGGCAAAAGCGATTTAAAGCATGATAATGAAGAATTAAAGAAGAAAGGAATTGGACCAACAACAACGACGACAATCAAGAACGAATCGAATTCGACTTTATCATCTGATCACTGGTCATCAACGTCGATTAGTAGCTTTTCTCCATCGAGTACTTCATCCAAAGAAATAATGCCAACGTTAGAAGGGAATAAGTATGAAGAAACAGAAAAAGTCGAAGCGTCGGCTAAGCAATCAGTCGGCTTGTCAAATAATTATCATCGATCAACGCATTTAAAAGAACAAAATAGTTTAACAAAATGCATAGATTATGGTACAGTTGAAAAGAAACCTGTCACAAAGGATTTGCCTAAATTTTCACCTCCAGAGGAAAAGAATGATTTCAAAGAAAATCTACAGATAGGTTAGTTTAAAGTAGTATCCATCAGAGATCGATAGGTTTATCATTAGAAATTAAAATTTTTGGGGGAAATGACGAAAATGGTGACCAAAGTGCTGCTGATTAGCGCCATTCAGGTTTCTCTTCCCCTTTTAATATGCGTTTATCTCTCATTCTATCAGTGGACGGGAATCGAATCCCTGCTGTTTTTCGGTTCTTTCTTTTAACTCGCCCTAAATATAATTTCACTGGACACTGTAAGAATGTAACAACGGAGTGGCAGTATTGTTTAAATTATGATATTCATCCATAGAAAATGATAATATATTATTTTAGATGACAAATTAGAAGTGCGAAAACAGTTTGATGGTTTGGATTATTCGCGATTTCACGACATAACAGACGACGACATTATTGGAAGGCCTTTAGAAGAGGAGGAAATCGAACAACAAAAACTTCTTTCATCTAAAGAAGCTTTTATCACTAAAAAATTCGATACTATCGATAAACCGAGCAATGCGCAGGTTTTTTATTTTTAAATTTATCGTATTTTATGTATTTTTGTACAAATTCTTATATTTCTCATTTATTTACAATAATAATTTCGTTTTTCTGAAGTAAATTTTCAACTAAGAAGTGAATTTTCTTCCCATAGATGGTCCATTATTTCCAGCTGTTATGCGCTTTGCTCGAGGTTCATTTCATGATTATCAAAATTCATTAGAAAAACATACACTTTAATAGAACCATTTTAAATTAAAATAAGTTATAAAATAATTAAAAAATTCCTCGCTGATAAGTTTCTTATCATATCTTATCATTTGATTGGGATTAAATTAGTTTTGAAAAAGAGAAATAAAAAAATTTCGAGTCAAACTCTTCAATTGAACAAACTGCATCTATTATGAAACATTTAAAAATTTTTATGAAAAAATTATCCAAAATTTGCCAATTCACTTGAAATATTTTATTTGATATCCTATTTTACAATATTTAATATTTAAGCGAATATTTAAATAGCGAAAAGATTTTAGTTAGCAGAATGTCAAGAAATTCTTGGACAGCGATTCGATCATCACGATGTTTTTACTGTAATTTTAAAACGATCACCAAATAATAATGAAGGTTCGGTTGGTGTTATATTAACGTCGACGATAAATCGCGATCAGATTATAACGGTAGGTCCCGCTAAGACTTTTTTTCCTACAATCCTATATGGATCTTCTCGAATTCTATAGAATTACGAGAAACGCATGATAAATTGTTTTCCAATAATTTGAAAATCAATTAATCAGTTGAATGCATTTTACTAGGCCTAAATTATTTATAAATTGGCCAACGATATTGGCCGAAATCATCGTTCAGTGATTCCATTCTATTATCAACGACGTTAGCGATATATTTCTGACTTCTTGGCAACATTGAGACGTTACGTGAAATATGAAAATTTAGGTGGAAGTAAAAAGTCTTTTCTTTTGGTAGGAATACAACTATTAAAAGTGAAAGTGAATATCTCCCAACTCAACATTTCTGGTTAAGTTCGTTCCACTGGATCAGTAAGGTTTGGCTAGGGGTTCACTTGCCGATAGAAGTGAGTCGCCAGCATCAGTCGAAGTGTCTCCATTTATATCTTTTTAAATAAGTTCACGAAGAAGTAATTTTGTTCACCGAAATATTTTTTTAATTTTCGATAATTTTCACAAATCTTTAAGAAATTATTTATGGAAAAATGGAACCTATGTTTTCTATACACAAAGTTTTAAATTGTATAAGATGGTCTGTCATCATTTCATTAAGGTACATAAGGTCATTTGTGGCAGTATTGCTTGTCAGAGTGATCAAATCAAGAAAGGTGATAAAGTGTTCTTCATCCAGGATCAGTCGACTAAGACGGTGAATCAATTCATGTAAAACAAAAATTGAAAATATTTTCTTATTATTTTTAACGACAATCAGAAAAAATCGAGCAACATTTATATTAACATTTACATTTTTCGTTTTAGATGAGTCCATGCGAAGCAAGGTTATTAATAAAACAACCATCAGAAACCGTGAAATTCATACTGGGAAGAGACCGAAACAAAGCCAACGAAGAAAATAAAACCACCAGGAAATTATTATCAACAGGTGAACTGAGAGATATTTTAGTTCTGTCACAGCATGGAGATTTGTCACCATAGCATATTACTATTTTCGAATAGAACACAAATTTCTCTTTGGGCTAACGATGTTAGCCCAAAGAGTCGTTCCAGTTTTCGCTATCCCTATTCCATTTCCTTTTTTATTATCTAAAATATAGAATGTATGCTGCATATTACAATACAAATACTATTATAATTTCGTATGAACATAGCATTCTGCGGCTTTTAAAAATGTTTTTGTTAGTGAGTTAAAATTCCATTTTTTCCTTTTTCCATTCCCGCATTTCAATTGTTTGATTTAGGAAACAACGAAGCTCAATATTTTTCAGTTTCAATTGATCCAGAAAGTTTTAAATACTCTGAGCAATCTGAAGATATAAATTTGTTCAAAGGATCGCTAGGTATTGGCTTATCGCTTGATGGTGGTCGCGGTTGTGTTTATGGTGACCGACCTATTGTTGTTAAACGGATTTTTGAAGGTAACGAATTCCTTTTGCGACAAAGAAATGATATTTTTAAACATGCATATTTACCGAAATATCGCCAACATGAAAATAATTTTGTCAAATTAATATTATAAAAATACTTGAAGGTGGTTCAGCAGCAAAAAGTGGTCGGGTAAAAGTTGGCGATCGAATAGATGCTATTGAAGGAATATCTACTATTTCAATGAGCTATTTGGAGGCAACGAAAACTTTAAGATCGCGACCTGAAGGTCCTTTAACAATTACGATTAGAAGCAGAATTGAATAAATATTGCCTTGTTTGATCTTATTGTGCTTTATTTTGCATGAATCCTTATAATCATTATCGCTGACTGGAAGGAAGAAATTCTATTTTGTAAATGTTAAAAAATCTAAAAAATTCATTTAGTACAGATTAGCCAAACTAGTTTTTTAAAGGAATTTTTTAAGTTTTTTTGCTTCAATTTAGTTAATATTTCTTACAATGCTGGTATTTCATAATTAAATGAATGGCATTATTTGTCAAATTAATTGTTGTAAATGTTTTACATAAAATTAAAATATTTATCTAATAAAATTAAAATCAAGATATTTAAGGAAAATTAATAAAAAAAACGAGTTTATTTTCAAGACACTATCAGTAATGAAATGATAAGCGACTTTTTGACAATTATTACTAATTAAACCTCAAAACAATGAAAGTTTTTCAAATCCATTATGTAGTACCAACACTGAATAGCAACAATAACAAAAAGGAAATAATACTGGCTTAAGAATCACTGTTTCATCAAAGAATTCTTACCTTTAATTAGTAACACAAGCAGAGGAAGAATGGTAAGTTAGCTGATTACAAATTTATTCTTCATAACCATATCCAATTTTTCCTAGTTCAGGAAAAGTAACTTTACATTTAGGCAAATTTAACCTTAATACACGAAGCATCGCAGTACGATTAACGACATAAGGTAGAAAATAAAAATGTGCACGTTGCAATGCTCTTAATTTAACAAGCCATTGAGCCGCTGAATCAGTTAACATCGGATTACAAACTATTTCCTGAAAAAAAAAATTTGCATGCACCAAATTGGATTAATTACCAATAATATGGCGACGCGACTAGATGAATCTAACAGATTCAAGAAAAAATCATAAATGAATCATGAATCATAAATCATCAAAAATCATAACGATACTATATTTTTTAATGTCAAAGCTGGACGCCCAAGGGCCAATTCACGTATTCCATCATCACCGAAGAAATCACAAAAATTCATCTTTAATTCTTCCAAACGTTTGCATTCACGAAAATAGGAAAATCCCCGATTTGTAATAATTGAATCACTGGCATCTACCTTAATTCACATGGAATAACCTTGAATTTTTGCATGAAATAATTGGTCAAAATTATTCATGTATAAAGAAGATTTTAGTCTTTAAGACAGCACAATGAGGGGAAAAAGTGGTATAGCATAGTTAACCTTAACTATGCATGCTTCAGGTGTGTTAGTGCCTATTTCGCTGTTAGCGTCGCATTCTTCTCCTTCAACTATTGATAAATTTTTTGACAATCTACCCTGAAAAAAATTGAGAAAATTTCCACCTTTTCCTTCATCTTTAATTCATTTTAATTTTCTCTTAATCCATAAATATTTTTAATTCTTATTTTTATTCATAAACAAAGATTTTTATTCATAAATAAAGAATAAATAAACTTTCAATAAAGTAAATAATAAAGAAATTAACGAAAAGATTAAATTTTAATTAAATGGAAAACTAAAATTTGTGAAAAAAAACCAACGAATATGGAAAATTTAAATCCAAATTGACTAATATATTTTCGCATCTGTTTGATTCCACTTATAATAGTTCCATCGCTCATAATCACCTTTTGAAAAGAACAACTAATTTTTGAATTTTACGAAAGCATTTGAAGAAAAATAAACAACTGAAGTAGAAGAATAAAATAAAAAAAATTTGAAAATGCTTCTTTATTTACAAGATAAAATCATTAAGACCATGAATTTTGGCTTTTAAATTAATATAAATGCGATAGATAAATACGCAATGAAGTGCGGTAACTAAATCATACGAACCAATATAAAGAATAAATAATATGGAGAAAGGCAAGATCCTCTATAAAGAAATATAATTAATTTCTGGAAAATAACCTGAGTGCTCCCACTTTCCATCAACCAAATTAAACAAGTCAAATCTGGTCCAATTTCTTTGATGATTTCATCGCTAAATCTTAATGAAAAATTGTTAATACATGGAAATAAAAATAAAAAAAATAAAAAATAAAAACCAGTGAAATAAAAATTTTTGCCAAGGATGCAAAAATTTTATACTGTTGAGCGACATAACCATTGTACCACTTTAATGGTTAAATGGCTTGTCGCATTAGGCAATTTGCCAGGGAGTCTCTTGGCGATAGAAAATATATATGGAAAACAGGTGAGTCGCCAGCATCATCCCGATTTTTGTACAGATTTACTCCTACGGGGAATCGAACCTCAGCATCGGCGCCCCAAACTGAGCAATAACCAACTGAGCAATTCTATCCCCTGTAACTAAAACTTTTCATAAAAAATTGAAGATATCCTCATAGGATATTGAAATCTTGAAATTTTCCAGTTGAATGAGACGCGATACAAGATTGTGGAACAAAACAATCATTCTTAATGGAAAAATGACAAAAATGATATAAATAGACATATTTATTTATCATCTTAAGTATTATATTTTTACTACGAAATTATCTGCGAGCGAAATTCAATCTTTGAGAAAATCTAAGGAATCGCTGCAGCCATCAATCGAAGATAAATTATCTTTGAATAAGTTATCTTTGCATGCGCAAAACAGAAATAGCAATAATAATTTAAGTTACTATAAAAAATGAGTTCAGCATTATAGTATTAATGCCAGGAAATGAAAATTACTTGTGCATGAATGTTTCAGCCAATTTCCTTCGAAAATGAATGCGTAAGAACGACCGCGAACTATTCGCAAAAATTTCATGGGGAATACACGGAGATTTTGATTTAATCAATAATAACCGCCGGAATGAATACATATCAACCCCTGCAATAGGAATTATTTGACCAATCAACCAAGTTGAAATATTAATAAATTTCAAAATCAAATGTTCAACATCCGCACAGACTTCTCGGCAAAACGGACTGACACGCCAAATCAAAAATGGTGCAAACTATTGAAGGTCGAAAAATACAACCAAATCCAATTTTATAAAATTAAATTTCTGAAAGTGAAATTATGAAAATATTTGCAGCAAATATAACAAAAATAGTAAAAAAACAAGAAAACATTTTCTTATTTTTTATTTTTTAGAAAATATTCACGCAACAAAGAATATTAAAAAAAATTATCATATAATAAATTCAATTGCTTGACAGAAACTAAGCATTAAAAGTAAGATATGAATGATTAGTGGAGTTTCATTTACATCTTAGTCCATAAATAATTAACGAGAATTTATATTTTTACAATTTACGGTGAAATGTAGAAAAATTTCAAACGGCTTTTGCTTTCTTGTCCAAAGGCTCCAACTGATTTAAGGCGGTTACTTCGCCATCAGTACATTTTCTCTTAGATGAAGAAAGAATTTGTTCGGATGTATTTGATATTGCATCGGTGGATTGCGTACTTGATGAAAACAACAATTCACTAAGTAATTGAAGCGATATGCAATATAACATTTTACGTCCAGCAACTTTACTAACATTATGAATTTCAACGATATTCGATTCCCTAAAAATCTCACGATAAATTACCTCAAGATTTAGTGATGTAAAAAGCTGAAAGTTATAATACGACAAAATATGATAAAATAGGTTGTTCGAGTGAAGTGATGAATGTGATGTGAGTGAAGTGATTAAACCTTAAATTTTTTGTTATAAGCTTCTTCGCTTCTTCTATATACCATTCCTCGTCGACATCCGTATTTGACTTCACAAATATATAACAATGAAAATAAATAACAAAAGTTGGCGAAACTAAAAAGGCAGTAAACCATAAATAATGAAATCACGTTATTAAAAGTAAATAAAAACATTGAAAATAGTTAATCAAAATAAATTAAAATAGTAAATCAAAATAGTTATGGAGGCGAATTACTTTTATAATCGGACGAAAATCTGTTGTACAAAAGTCCACGAAGATGTGGGAGTAAGGAGAGTGATAAACTCGGTAAATTCATTATTATATGCGCATTTGTCGGAATGGACTGTTTATCTAAATAATTAAATAAAATAGGTACTCATATATATGAATATATATTATCTTGAAACATTAAAATCATTAAAAAAGAGGCAAGAAAAATGATTCGTGACTACAGCATCTATACCTCCATCCTAAACTGATCCTTCGACAAAAAGATCCTGGTCAATACAGCCATCCTAAGTAGAAATGATGAGAGCAATTAGACGAAGAAAGCCAATAAAACGGAATAGAACGGAATTCAAAAGATATATACGCCAATGAACCACATGATAAGAAATGATCTCTAGATCAAATAAATGAAAGAAAAAAAGTAAAATTGAGAGAATCCTCAAAATTTAACTCACAAACTTCCTCTAAAGATGATTTTGTCGGATCATTACTGCTATAAAGCATTTCTATCAAATTAACTATGTCACTAGCAACTATTTCTTTTAAAAAGTGAACTGCATCCAAATTATATATTGAAATAGAATCTGAAGATAGCTGAAAATTTGAAAATTGTACAAAGAATAGATTTACAAAAATAAAAAAGATGGAACAGATTGGATATACTAAAAAAAAAAATTATAAAATTGCAATTGATAATACGAACATTGTTCAAGGATAAATTTTCAGCAAGGTATTTTGTGCAAATAGGATTTAGATCATTAGCAAGAACTCTCTGTACTCCTTTTTTAACAGCAGGAATCACGAAAGGACCAATGCCAGCGCAACAATCATAAACTACGCAAGTATTGTCTAACTTATCAACCAAGCGAGTATGCTCAGTGGAAAGCCTACTATTCCAAAAAACCTGTAATTTTTAAAATAAACGATTTATTGAATAAAAACAATTAGTTCTATCACAAATAAACCTAAGAGAAAATATTGCATAGTTTAAGAAAGATATCAAATTTTCTCATAATTTCATTTTCAAAATTTAATTCACTTTAAAATTCGAATTTAGCGAGAAATATAAAGAAATGACGATAAAATTGGTTAAGCTGTTTTAATTTTTAATTCTCCAGGCTGATAATTAAAATATGACCAATGTACCTTGCTGAAATCCAACTTGTAGGTGATTTTATTTTCTTTGACTACTGTTTCATAATTTGCTTCGCCAGCAAGTAAATCAGGTTCAAAACAACGATATTCATTTTCGATAATATTCAATTTATTGACGACTGTTCTGAAATCATTGTTTGTGATTCTTGTTATCACCATAAAATCTAATGCCAAATTTCATTTCCTACATTTCAAAATATAAATGTAAAAGAAAATTCTAAAAACGATTTCTCCCTCATCAGCGGTGGCAGAAGAACACTTTAGTTTAGCAATGAAACAGCTAATAAATAACAAAAACCTGCAAGAAGCAATTTTATCCAATAATATTTGACCAATAACATTCTTATATGGCAATAAATTTTCGCGCAAATTTACATGAATAATGTGCCCAATATGAGAGAAACCACTGAAAATTTTCATTACTTTATTATCAAATTTTTTCTTTACTAAAAATTCAGCGAAATCTTCGTCGTAAAATAAAGAAATTGAAGACATGAAATATGAAAAAAAGTGAAAATAAATTTTAAAAAAATTCGTCCTCCAATTTTAGCAAAAATCGAAAAGATAGATGGAATGAAATTACCTAAACTCTAATTCTTTAGGCAAAACGGCTTTTATGCAATGTTTTGGATGCCAATCTTCATAGTTGACAATTAAATGAAAATTTTCTATCGAAAATTTCTCCTTGAACAAATCGTAAAGTTCTTCGATAACCCACTGCTTTTGAACATCGTCAAATCGACACGGATGGAAAAGCAGAAATTTGTCAAAAGATTGTGGATCACAAATTATATTCTAAAATTTATTTTTAATAAAAGTGATAAGGTAGTAATTTTAAGAAAACCATATTATAAGGAAAAGAAATCAGATCATAAAATATATTATATTTATTCTTTCCTCATCTCTTCGAAAATTCAAAAAACCTTAATTTTTGAAGAAATTCTATCGATTGTCAAGTGAAAGAAACGAGAAAACTGCCTAATATCTTTCACATAGTTTTGTGGAATACGAACAGCGGGCAAATCGAATTCTTTCCTGCAAATCGAAAAATTATGAAAAATTATTACTTTTTCTTTCTTTTAATTTTTTCAATTTTCAATTTTTTAATAAATATCTAAAAATCTCTGAATCTCTAAAATCTCTAAAACTGATTCATTTAATAGAGTTTGAAATCTATCAAATGAGCGAGCGACTGCTTCTTATGATTTTCAAGAATTACAAGAATAAATACCTAAATAACTCGCGCTCCTTATCAGTAAGTTGTCGGATACCTCGAACAGCCTCAGGAGGAAAAAATATTTGTTGTTCCATTTGTCGAACACAGCTATCTGTTAAATTATTAACCACTGATAACAAAACTTGGAACTTTGATAAATGATCGTACTTTTCGAAAATATTCAACTTTCTAATGAAAACACTCTGCATAAGCTGATAAAATCTGCAATTGCAATTTTATTTCTAGAACGAGAATTTCTGATATGCTTAATATAGAATATCAGTCCGAATGTTAAGTCGAACAACAAACAAATCAATCGTCATTTTCTGCATTTAATATTTCAGTACAAAAATTTATATAAGGAATTCCTTTTTGATGATTGATCTTTGTTTCTATGTTTTGTTTCCACAAAAATCTTTATTGGAACTAAATTGAATTATTGAACGAATTATGAAAAAATTATGAATCACAGTTTGTTAATCTCATATATACCAATTGGAAAAACTTCATAAATGAGGAAAATTAAAAGTTAAAAAAAATATAATTTGTAAATGTATATACGAAAGTAAAAATAATAGACATAGAGTGATCCAGCTTTTATATACTATTACGAACTGCACTTTGGAAGCACCACAAGTTCGCTGTCAGATTATGAAAATATTTATTGAAAAATATTATTTATTCGATCAAACAATTCCGAATGAGTTAACAGCCCTAGGGCAACAGGCTCGGTTTTACTTGAATCCATTTTAAAAAATTCGACAACAGGCCTTTCGGAAAATTTCCTTGCAGAAGCATTACCGATAAGAACAACATAAGGTATACCTATAAAAATAAAATTTAAACAATTCATATTATTAAAATTAGAGTGAATTTCAGAAAGATAATATGAAAACCTAAGCTTGAAGCGAACTGTAACCGGCTTCCGTATGATTTATAAATTCTATCATCGAACAAAACTTCATTAGCAAGTTGAGGAATCGAATCTAACTGCTCAAGAAGGCATTCTGTGAACAAATGCATTTCATCACAACACATCGAGGAATCCATAGGTCCAATTACACCTATTTTATAAGGCGTAATTTTTTCAGGCAAACGTACTGAACTGGCCATTGAAAGTGAATCGATAGCAGCAGCAACTATTCTGCCTGAAAAATCTTAGATTAAAAAATCACTAACAAGGAAATTGAAACCAAAAGAATACGCATAAAATCTGTAAACAAAATGAACGAACCTATTCCTAAGCCGTAGCAATTCATCAACAAATAATTCCTATTCATTGTAGTATTTAAAGCCTTCGTAAAAATATCACCAAGCTGAAATGTATGTCCCACTTCAATCGATGGTATTATAGAGATAGCACCTGTACAAGTTTCACATGGCTTCTCTCCTTTTTGATAATACTCCCAACTCACACCTAAATAATTTTTTGATGTTAATGAGCTACTGAGACGTTACTGAAAGGAAGTGAATAATCTAATTTTTTTATGGAATTACAAGAATTTACAGAAAAATTTCAAAATTTTCAATAATTTTCAAAAAATTCAAATTTTATTGAGAACTAACCTGCGCCACACTGATCACAGCAAACTATACGATCTTCGCCCGTTTCACTAGGAACATGATATTCATGTGATATATTCCCACCAATATTTCCAGAATCTGCCTTAACGACGTAGAGGCGAAATTTTAATAGGTCTCGTAAAATTCGATGATAAACCTAAGAATGAATTAAATAAACAATTGTGAAAAAAAAATGTAAAAAAAAAGAATAATACCTCAGATACACACTGATAAATTACTTTTGCATCTTCATCACAAAGATGAAAAGAATAGAGATCATTCATGATAAATTCGCGACTTCGTAGAAATCCAAACTTTGGACTCATTTCATCACGAAATTTCAATCCAGTTTGATAAATCATTAGCGGAAAATTCGACAAGGGAATATTTCCTTAAAAAAATGCGAATTATTTTACTGCTAAATCATTAAACAAAAGGGAAAATCAGATTGTAATGCCGTCTCATTTCCTGAGAAAAATAACTTCCAAGCCAAATATTTCTAAACAAATAAAAAATAAATATTAAGGATGTTTGATTTTATCAGAATGTAGGTGGAATCAGCCAGAACGAAAAAGAAAAATAAGAGTCTCATATTTATACCAATTAAAAAATTATTCGGCACAGAAAAGATAAAAATACCTCGTTGTGCCACAATTTGCGCAAACATTTCTTCGGCAGTCGGCTGCAAGCAGAAATATTTCCCTTGTCGATCCTGTAAATGAAAAATCTCAGATGACATACGATCCCAACGACCAGCTTTCAGCCATAATTGTTTTGAACCCAATATCGATAAACACATTTTTTGGCATCCAATTGAATTCAGTTCATTTTCGATTAACTGCACAAGTTTTTCAATAACCCTCTGACCCAAAAAATATTAATATTGAATTATAGAAATATTAATATTAAATTATAGAAAAACAAAAAAAACTACAAAAAAACCTTATTATTATCATTAAATATTACTGATGAAATTTCTATAGTACTCGATTTACAATTATAATTATTAAAAATGAAACAATCACCAATTGGAAGAACTGAATACAATCCTTTGTTTGATGGATGGATAAAACCTTTTTCCAGCATTAACTGATAAGAAATATTCGAAGATCTTGTTGATAAACGAGACGATGCAGCGAAAATTCGAGAAACTCGATGAATCACCATTATTAATCTTTAATAAATTTGTACAATTTTAGAAAAAAAGAAGAAATTTCTCGTTGATAAATTTTTCATAGCGGATGATAAAAACTGACAAAAAATATTTGCTTAAATTTATATAAATTTGATTTTATTTTCTAATAACAATACAAATAAAATCAATCAAATAAAAATTGGAAAAACTCTTAATAGAACTGAAGATCATCTTCTTATCAAAATGTACAAAGCGTTTTTCGTTCAGCCGCTTCTACCACAATATTACGTGTTACTCCGCGAGATATCGTAAATCAAGTAAAATAATTGAAGGACTCCAAAAATATTTTATACGATGCCTCTTCCCTAGTTACGATTTTAACTGTAAAAGAAAACTTCTACAATAACCTGGAATCTCTGTCAATTCGTCGTATTAAACAAGATTTAACTTATATTTATAAGATTTTGTATGGTATGTTAAATTAGATCGTTCAAAATATTATAATTTTAGGCTAAATTTAAATCCAACAAGAACTAATGGGCTAAAATTACTAAACCTATGTGCAAAACTAAAGTAAGGATTCATGACTTCTTTATTCATACTATTAATTACCGGGATAAATACCCAACGATATAGCTTGTGCGACATCCTTGGCTATCTGTAAAAAAGATTAGATAATATCATTTATGATATTATTTAAAAAGTTCACATCATGCACGAAGTCTGGAATCTCAACTTTTCCATCCGACTATATACAATACAGTTATTTCGAATTGTACTGTACTATATTATTCTGTAATTTCCTCTTTACATTCTTTTTAAACTATTTGTCATATTTTTATTTTTTTTAATATTAAATTTTATTATTTGTTTTTTAAACTGTTGTTATTAATACAAGCATATGGCGTTGTCGCCCTACTTGCTGGTTTTTAGTAAATAAATACACAAATCAATCGAAACAGCATAAACCATTCATCCACTAATCCTTAAACGAGCAGAAAATGATTGCACTCGGAACCGCAGATCTGAAGACAATTCGCGGTAGCTGAAAGAGAATATCAGAGGATTACAGAAACGCTCGCAAGCCGCGACCACAATTCTGAAAACAATTCGCGGCATTCGAATTACGCCGAATAAATTAGCAAAAAATTAATTTGACGATGGTAGGAAAAACTTCGTCGAACTACGAAACAAAAACTAAATTTTCAGTAATTTCAGAATTTTCTTGTAATTTAATTATTATAGCTCCTTTGCGTATAAAATAAAATAATTTCATTAAATCGTAGAAATTTAATTTTAATTTTGGCAGAAATTTCTTTAAAAATATTCAAAATAGAGAAAAAACGTCGCAAATCCACTTAATCATAAAAAATAAAAATAAATTTTTAGCCCATTTCGCGCCTCGCAATTTAGATAAAATAATCAGGAAAAAATTCGAATACCTCCTGAGGACGATTTTTGGTAAAAGTCAGCAAGTTAACGAGATTTTTATTTCTCGGAAAATTGTATCCGCATCAAGATTATTTAAGTTGTAAAAGGAGTATTTGTTTTCACGTGTAATTGTGGGTGCATGTTGATGGTACCTTGTGTATGGAAGAAGGCAAGGCTGGGAGGGCCCTGAAAGTCCGGGATTAAGTAAATTGCTGGTTAGCGGTGCTCTGAGTGGCACTGTTTGATAAACATCGCTCCTTGACATATTTGTATTATGGATGATTCCTGACAGCTTCAAGATAGAAGTACAAGTTGCCTTCCAGTGGTATTCGTGATTTATGGCCAGAATTATGCTTGGAAATGATAAGCTAGGCGAAATATGTAGCATATTTTTCTTGGTAGCCTAGTATAGCCTAGGCAGACGTGGTGAATTTACTTGAAAAAATGATTCGACCAGCGGACGATCTTGTCGCTTATTGTGGTCGTTTAGAGAGGCAGTATAACCGAATAGTTATCGCTCCTTTTTTTTATCATGGCATTAAGGTTCGTCAAGCGTGAAATTTCAAGGTTCGGATTCTTTTATAAGCGTAAGTCTGCCGTTAAAAATCCGAGTGGTTATGAGTATTATTAACCCTTGTTTCTGACTCCTCGGGGGAAGTTTTTTATCGCACACGAGTCAGTCTAACCAGAAATGGAATACTAATCATTTATTCCTTTATAGTCCAGAAAATTTAATTCAATTAAACTGCAACGATTATTTTTTATTATAGTTTTTTTTAAACAATCAGATGAATTTGGAGAAGGAATCTTTTTCTGCAAACGTAACGACTGCAAATCGGTTATCCATTCCAAATTTTCATTTAATTTAAATATGGTCATTTTAATGTTAAAAGTAATTTTTTATTCTTTATTATATTGTATAATTTTTAAAGTATATTTTTAAAATGTAAACCATGAATGAATTTTGATAAAATTATTAGATTCCTCTTGTATTGTACAAATTAGGGAAGAAGTTTTTGTATGTTTTAGCAATTTAGTGGCCTTGAAGGAAAAATCTGTTGAATTGTCGGTTTATCGCTGACGATGATAATGTTTTGCCGATGATCCCAACAGTACTTTTTCATCTTTTGATGATATGAATTTTAGGAAAATATTCCAAGTTTTCGGTTGTATTTACATTGATTCTTGTGAATTATGCAGTATATGAATAGAATTATTCCAAAATCGAGGCGAAATCGGCTTCTTCTTATAATACTGTTATTTATAGTGGCATGGTTTTGCCTTTATCCTCTTGAAGCTTTCATCTTTAATTTCAGTGATATTAACCAAACTTCGGTGAGTTTTGAAATAAAAGTTATCGTATGATTATGATGGTAAATGACTTGGATAAGATTTCTCTAACTTGTTTTCGTATGTTTTTAGTTTTTCGAAAGACATATTGATTTCAAAAAAAATCACTAAGAATCATTGTAAAATTCCTTGTTTTGTTTATTTAAAGTTTTTTATTTCTATTTTTTGCGTTTCTATTTTTAGATAAATTTGTTATTTTCTCTAAATCTATTAAAATTCTATTAATTTTAAGGAAAATAGGTTTTATTCAAATAACTTGGCACATGGAGGACTTATGAATAGAATTCATAGTGAAGTTCACGAATTACGTGGCAAAATTTTTCGTTTTTTTACTTCAAGTATGTTATATGTTCGATGTAAATTTTATATATTTTTTTTTTTTGCAACAGTAGTTTATGAATCGTTTTCGTTCAAGCAGTTACTCGGATTTCTTCTTAAATGATTGTTCCTAGGGATAATAAAAGATTTCTTGAATTGTTGAATTGTTGAATTAATATTTTAACTTATTTCTTTAGGTCATTTATAATTAAAATCAAAAAATCAAAATCTTTAATCATATGTTAACCTTTAAATTTTTATATTTGTTAATCTCTCCGTTCCATTTTAATTTAATATAGGTTTTCAGAAATTTTCAATGTAGTGAATTGTTCACTTAATGGTATGAATTTAACCACTTATCCTGATTGTATCGCGAAGATTCACTGGATGATGAAAAATTGGAAAACAGATATTTGCTATGGCCAGAATGGTGTTGATGGATCTTTATGTTCAATATATATTTATTTATCGGAGATCGAACGTCACTGTCCTCTTCTTCAGTCGCGTAATTTTATAAACCATAAATCTAGAAGACAACTCTCTTCATTTTCCGTAATTTTTATTTAAATAATCAAATTTGAGCGTAAAAAATACCAAAATTTCTTAAATATAGCAAAAATTTTTGTTAGAATTATTTCTTTCCTTTTATCGTTCATTAAACTATTTCTTAATTTAAAGGTTCCAAATATGAAAAATTTATTTTCGTTGATGCATGATAGTAATATTAATTATGAATTTATAAAGAAAAGGATCAAACATTTATGGAATAAATGGATTGAAGCTTATGAAATGAATTCTGCCAAATGGCCCCAATCACTGCCAAAGCGAAGACTAAATGTATTTCAATTATTTATTTCAATTTCTAAACGGCCCGATTAGTTCTTTTTAGTAATTTTGCATTTTCTTTATGTCTTGATCAATTCACCATCAGTAAAAAATTTGATTCTCCGATCAACAGTTTGGATTATTTTTATTGATTATTTCTTTTCAGATTATTTTACATCTTGGTTTTTTAACTAAAGAAGCTGGATTAAAATTTGGCGAAAAATCTGAATTTGGCGGTCCGTTAGGCGAATTGGTTCAGTGGTCTGATTTAATAGCTGCTTTGTACATATTGGGTCATAATCTTTCAATTTCATCTCAATGGTCTACTTTCAAAATGTTGGCCCTCTCTTTATTTATTTAAGGAAATTTTCGTTATTTTCACTTATAAATTATAAATATTTTTTATAACTTGCAATTTTTTAAATTTATTTTTCAACTTTTTTTATGGTTCATTTATAAATTTTCAGCTATACGAATTCATTTTATAAGCATGTTTCATGTCCAAATAAAAGTGCTCGGAAATTTGATCTGATATTCACAGATATTATCGCTTTGCGATATATGAGGCGGAAAATGAAAGCATTCTTTTTACAAAACAGGTTTTTTTTATTATATATTTGTATTTTATATTTGTTTTTATGGCTTTTTGCAGGCCCATTCTTTGCTTTTTCAAACAAAATTTTTTTTTTGCTTTTACTTGTCATGGCTTTATTTAAGAAGTAAAATTTTTTTTGGTTTTAATTGAAAAAAAAAAATTTCAGTTGCATTTTCCGAGTGCTTGATTCGTTTGGAACACATGCTGAATTCAATAATAATGTTTACTATTTGGCTCATAAGCAAGAATTGGGTGGCACAAAAAATCCTTGGGGAGGGAATGGTTTGAAACTTAAGCAGTTTTTGACCATGTATCCTCATACTGATGACAATAGTTTCCTTGGTTTTGTTGTTGAAACGCATACCGATAAAGTTTCACCGAAACGGAAAAATGCTACATTGGTTGGAATTTATAAAATTCTAGATTTTTTTGTTTTGTTTTAGATATTATTTACACCATTTTGCACTTAAGTCATACCTTTTTCAAACAGGTATATGGGAAAGAAATTTATATGTGGGAGAATGCGAAACTATTGTTAGAAACAGTAGGAAAATATACTCAACTACACGCAACTGTTAACTATAGCATGGAAAATTACACTGTGGTTAATCATGGAATATTGTCGGGTGATAAGTTGCATTCATTGTTTAAAAGCGTGAAAATTTACCTTGGGCTCGGTTTTCCTCTTGAAGGACCGGCGCCATTAGAAGCAATTGCAAATGGCGCTATCTTTATTAATCCACGGTTCAATCCTCCAAAATCTCGCAGAACTTACAAATTCTTCAGTGAAAAACCAACTTTAAGAGAGGTTTATTTTTAAGCTATCTTTGATAAATTAAATTTTTAAATTGTTAATGTTTTCATGATTTGCTTATTTATTATATGACGTATTTTAGTGAAGGCTGTAAAGCTCTGAAAATAGCAAAGGATATTACACTAATTATTACATTTTTACATTTATATTTCATATTTTACATTTTGATTATATTGCATTTTTACATTTTACATTTTTATATTAAATTTTTACATTTATTACATTACATTTTTTACATTTTTATATTATGCGTCATCATTTTTCATTTTGCAGTTGACGAGCCAAAATCCTTATGCAGAACGTTTCATTGGTAAACCTTATGTGATTACAGTTGACATCAAGGATATGAATGAAATGCGAAGCGCAATTGAAGAAGCTCTTAGATCACCAGTAAAAATCTTTAATATCTCTCTATTTCAATCATGAACGAATTCATTTATCTTATTTCGAATCAGTTTAAAATTTTTTCTTTTCCGTTTCTCATTGGCTGTTTTTCATTTTTTTTCATTTTTCATTTCTTATTCTTTTTAGCCTCGTTCCTATATACCTTTTGAATTTACAACTATTGGTTTGCTGCAGAGACTGAATGTTCTCGTGAATAAGCAAGATTTCTGTTTGAATTCCGATTTTCCTCCAAAAAAGGCTGCCATAATTTTGGATGCAAAAGATGGACAGTCATGTCAAGATGCTTGCGCAGAACATGGTATTTTTTAAGAGATTTTTGAGAATTCTTGAGATTTTTTTCTCTTTTAATTTTTCTCTTCTCTTTTCTCTTCTCTTTTCTCTTAATTATCTTTTTAATTCTTTTCATCACTTCTTTTTAATTCTTTGTGAATTCTTTGTGAAAATGAATATTTGCTTTATAAATACTATAAATTTTCATTAAATTTTCATTTCAGGATTAGTTTGTGAACCATCATTCTTTTCCTTAGCCAATAGTTCTCTTAAAAAAAGGTAAGAAATTTGAAAAAAATTGCTTTTTAATCTTCAGTTACATTTGATGTGGAAAACTGAACAGTATTCACTGATGATCTTTTTTTATTTTGTTAAATCATCAAAAGTTTCAGATCTTCGTGCAGTCATTTGTCGAATGTTTCTAGTCCTTTTGCACCTTACAACTGTAAATTGCAGATGGAAAATTCTCTGTTTAGCTGCGCATCTAAACCCGCTAGAGGAATTTCTCGAATATGTCCGTGTCGAGATTATATTAATGGTCAAATAGCATTATGTTCTCTTTGCATTTAAATATTGCTTTTATAAATATTTTAGGAAGCAATTAATCAAACTTTATCGTTTATTATAGTTTTCAAAAAAGTTTTAATTTAGTGGCATTAAGTACAAATTCGAATTTTAATTTTTAAATAAAATGGATAGAAAGGAGATTAAGAAGTGCAAAAAATATTTGAAAGACGAGGAAAAGACATTTTAGGGAAATATTTTTAGAATTTTACAATTTTATCATGGATATGACTGGATTTAATAAATGAATATGTAAAAATATGTAAAGTACTTATACTCTCTTATTTATTATAACAGCCCTCACCATTTCTAGTTTGATTCTCATTTGCTACTATAAGATAATGCTGCCATACGTCAGAACTGCAGAACCTGTTGATAAAATGAAATCAATTTTTTAAAATGAACGTTTGTAGTAAATGATCATCATTTTTAGAAAAAAATGCTTTCTAGAAAAATTAGGATAAAAAGGAAAGGAAAAAAATTTAAATGTAACAAAAAGTTGCAAAAAATAACAAAAAGTAACAAAAAAAGTTTTAGCTGTAGCAAAAAGTTTCTGATGTTCTGGTTAATTTTTTATCAAATTTTACGAATTTTTCTAATCTTCTTTTAATATTTAGCATAATTTAGTATTAGCATAATTTATTTTATCACTTACTGGAGTAGTAAAATCGTTAATTCTTCCTAAATATTTCAAATATTATATCATTTTTTTCTTTTGCTACGATTGATTACGAAATGGTTGCTAAGTGACAGTCGTGTCACCCGTAGATTTAACATTTCATTTTTCATGTAGAATTCTGGAATTTAATACTATTTTTGATCTAAATTTCTCAAAAATAATTAGGTAAATAATTATTTTTTTCTGATTTTCTTTTGTTGATATCGGTTTTTGCTTAATTCATCGGGTTATATCTTTTTTCAGCGCATTTAATTTATATTTTTTATCTATTTCGATTATTGTAAAATTTTTCCATTTTTTTTCATTTTTCTGAAATTATTGACAGGTTTTCGCGCATTTATTTATTTATGAAAGGTGCAGAGTATTATAATTATTGCATTTATAATGGACGATGTAAAAAATAAATCACTGTTGATTAGTTCATCGAAATATGATAGTGAATTTGAAGATTTTACTATTCAAACAGATAAAATTTTATTGGAAGACAAATCCACAGATAGTTTTGAACATTGTACACGTGAAATTCAAACAGATAAAATTTTAATGAAATCAACAATTTCTGTAAATAAGATCGACGAAGATTTGGTTAACAGTATTATCAATATTATCAATGATAACAATAATTCATCGAATGGGATTTTTAAAAAATTTGATTCATTTTATATCACGAATCAAATTTTAATATCGCTTATAAAACAAATCAAATTACAGGTATGAACTGGCTAATCAGCACTTCTTACTCGCGTAGCATATAATTTACCTCACTGGCCATTACTGTTAAAAGAGAGTCATTTGTGGATAGAGGCAGAAACTACATTGGCAATTTCTAATAATAAGTGCTTGGCTCCTATGATGTGGTAGGAAAAACAATAAATTTAAAAATCACTGTTTAGAGGAATTCTAAATGCAAATTCATTTAAGGGAAATTTAAACCACAATAAATAAAAGAGAAAAATTTTTACGAATCATTTAAGGGATATTCGTTACCGATAATTGGTATTGAAACTGGTGCAAATAGTCACCTGGCGATATTATATGGCAAGGAGTACCACGATTCTTGGTGTTTTCATACAGGCAAAGTAATGCACATCCATCGATCTAATATGTATCATATCCCGTGTCCTGGATGTCCTCTCGCTGTTAGGTGGATTTTTTATTCACAGTTATAATTCAAGCAAGGCAAACTTGTTCGGCTTGCGTCTTTCTATTATATAAAGTAAAATGTACATCGCTTAGAAAGGAAGAATAGCCAGATGAATTAATGAACTTAAATTAATTGCCTTTTTTTCTTCATTTTCGCAATTTCTGTGTCCCACTTCAAACTCTTTCCAGAGAAGCACTTGGAGATAAAAGATAAGTCCAGTCGGATTTCATCTATAGTAAGGTTTCATTCCCCTCAAAAGCTCGGAATTTGATGCTTTAGCTAACAAATTAAACACTGCACCACTTCGTTATACTCTGCTAGAGTGGATTCCAAGAGGCATTTCAATTATTGTTATCAACGTTAATTAATAGAATGGAGACAAATTGATTTAAATTTTGAGGAATTTTAAAAGCAATTTTTAAACGAAACAGGTTCGGTCCACAAGCAGTTCTGGCGATTGGTACGACTACGGGAAAGATTATTCTTGCACTGAACGGTGAAATTCTATCAGAGAGTGAGGTAAGTTGATTTATATTCTTTTTCCAAAAAGGATGAAAAAGATGGATAAAACGATTATAAAAGTAAATTTGGAATAGAATAATTGAGAATTTGGCGAAATTGAACAATAAACTTGCTATTGCCTAAGTTTTTAAAGAAATATTTATCGCTGATTATTTAAGAACTATGACGTTCTTTCATCAATTGTTATCAGGTAAAGAAAAACTTGGCGGTTTCAGATAAGTCCCTTTGCGATAAGTTCATTACAATGGCTAACACTGGAGAATTTTATTGTTGGAACACTTGATGGCAAAATTATCGTATATACGATGAAATCGACCCAAATTGTGGAACGAAAACGAACATCATTATCGATAAGTGATTTGCCTAGGAAACTACGAAAATCAGACTCTGATATGCGGTCAGTCGGTATGAGCACTATTCATTTCCTCACCTAATCATCGAATTAAATATTCTTCTAACAGCTTGCACCATTTGTGGTTTTTGGCTCACTGCACTGGTTACTGATTATGTGCCATCAAGCTATCGCCTTTCTGACTCTTAGCGACAATTTAGTATCTCCATTGATTACTAGTGATAAACGATCATTTGTATTCGAATTAGAAAGTTTTCGCTTTTGATTAGGAATCACATCCGTGGCGGTATATGATGATTTATTTGTTGGTGGAGAGACAGGTAATATATGGCGAATAACGCTATCAGATTTTTCTAAGACAAATTTTGGCTCGCAAATTGGTTGCATTGAAAGAATTCTCTGCACTACATCAAAACTTATCACATTGACTTCATTAGCTAAAGTAAGTTATTTTAAACTATTCGTAAAAATGGATATAATTTATAGAATCGTATTTTGTAGAATAGCTACGGGCATTACTATTACCCTTAGTTCTGCTTCTGCTATAGGTGTGGCATTTTCTTGATATTTAGTAATACCAATATCAAAAAGCTGAATTAAAATTAATTTTACATTATTAACACACAGATGCAGCCAATGGCAGTGAAATCATTGAATAAAATTGATAAAATTATCACTGAAAAACAATGACAAAATCTAGTATAATTTCAATAATTCTCCTAATATGAGACTTCGCTGCAGCCAGTGATATATTCCATTTTATTGATAATGTTATGATAAAGTTTTTTTAGGCAGCGGTTTGGTCATATAGTGGTGATATTTTAATTATAATTGATAGCAGAATAAATGATATTAATTTAATAAATTCAAATATCATGGTGTTCGACACATGCGACCATAATGAAATAATCTTCTATAGTCTCGATGATAATAAAGAAATTAATAGAAAACAATTGTCGCATTCTTTATTCAGTATTAGTGATAACAAATATTTGATTTACATTGATAATGATATGGAACTTCATTTTTACGATATTATTTTCAAATCGGGTTGATAACGCTTATACATTTTATTTATTTTGTTCTGTTTATCTATGGCAGTAAAATCTCTTATTGAAAATTGAAATTGAAATCTGGTTGGGCTGAGAACCCCATTATAATTATATCTCCAGGTGTTTCCCTAGAAGAATAAAAGTTTCGCCTTCTACCATTACACACAAAATATGGTTTGAAGTTTTTTCTTTAAGAACGATCACTGTTCCTGGTTAGGCTCATTCCGCTGGTTTATCAGACTTGCCAGGATAAAATTTGCCAGGATCTCTTTTGGCGGTAGAAGAACAACTAAAGCGCCGACAGATAGTTTTAAATTAAGATAGATTTATTCTGCCGAAGTTATATTCTTCTTATTTGTCAAAAAAATATGAAAAATAACGGTTATATCATTATTATTTCACTATTATTGAAATAAATATTCCAGTAAAAGAATTTAAATAGATAAAAAAATGAAGTACCACAGTTTTATTTAAAAAGATATTGGCTAATATCAATCGGTGTATTCGATTCTAAATTCATTAGAGCAAATAATTCGTCATTCGTTTTTTGCGCTTTAGTGTCAAGAAACGTCCATAAAGCAAGCGTTTGTAAGTAATAAGGGTGCTCGAGACCAAAGCAAACTTCAAATATGTTCATTGCTTCATATGCATATGGTGCTGCCTGAAATCTCACTAGTTATCATTATAATTGAAATCAATGAAATGGTATCTTATCACCTTTGAATTGATCGCTCATTGAATGTCCACCTCGAACAAACTTATGCTTCTTTTTAGAACAGTTTTACCCTGTTTTACAATTACCTATCCGACATTTTCCAAAATTCCATCTCAAAACTTCTTCAAACCGAATTCTACTTTTCCTGGCATAACGAAATCCTTTTTCCTGGCATAAGCACGAGCTACGCCTTCTAAATAATTATTTTGAGTCCCGCTAAACTCATAATTTTGATGTCGTGGAAACGAATGCTTTTTAGGTTATAATTTGTTCCAATCTATTTGTACATATTTTATATGCATAAATTGACGACCTCAAAACGTTCTCCTTTCTCAATTAGTGATTTAACGATATGCAATAAATGGAATGCAATGTGCCTGTCCATATGCGGAAAGCACCTGAAATTTAAACCCATAAGCTGTATCTAATTTTATCTACAAATAAATATTAAAATAAGGGAAACAAATGTTTTAAAATATCTTCAGGCAATTTCCCTCAGTCTCTCTTTTTTAAAAGGCGTTTATCATTTATCATTTCTTGGATTGATTGGTCTCCTCTGGCTTTGAACCAGAAAAATGCCTTTTGCGTTTTGGTGCAAAAGATGGACCACCAGCAGTTGCCGGATTTTTAAAAGATTCATGCCAGTAATAGAAGGTTAGCAAGGGTATTCCGAAATATGAGATCAACAACCCAATTCGCTATTCCTGTACCCTCAACAAATGGCTTTGAAATAGTTTCAAAAACAAAATAAATCGCATACATTTTATAATTTTCATAGACGTTCTTCTGTATAAACTGCAAATTATTTCCTAACGTTCCTTGAATGTGCAATATTGCAGTTTGAAGTCGAGTCACATAAATGTTTTTTGAGTGAAGTAATGCAGTGGCTTTTTCAAATAGCTCTTCGAGCTAAAATTTACAGTCTAATTTTTTCATAGCCAAAATCAATTGCAGTTAATCAAACTGTTATTAGCTAATAATAGGTTTCAGATTTGAACTTTGAGGGGAGAAATAAAATGGAATAAACTTAACTAATTTAACATCAATATCCACATCAAATTTGTCTGGCAAGTTTATCATGAACTTCTGGCATTTTTCAACGTGCTCCAGGCTTGCTTCTTGGCTACACTTGGCACATATGATAGCGCAGGGTTCAGCATCTTCAGTCGTTATCAAAGGTTCATCACAAGTTGGATTGACACACCGTATTGACGTCAATATATTATCAGCTGGATCAGAGCATCGCGAACACTCACAATGAAAGTACCTTAAATTCCCTTCAGTTCGCTGTTAACTGTCGTTTATTGCGATTTTTTGAATATTCGAAACGATTTCTTCTGTTCATGGAGAGATTGAGCTATTTTCAGTTTCGGGTAACCATACGCCATCACTATTTGGCAAATAAGTTAAGATTTAAAGAGGTTTAAGATTAAAAAGAATGTCTTCTTAAATTTATTCTGAAGAGACCCCATTATAACGTGAAATTAAACGTGAGTTTAGAATGAAAGTATAGAAATTTGACGAGTAATTACCACTTAGCTTGTAGTTCTTTTCGCCTCTGGTAGCGTGATCGGCCTAAGTCGATATAACTAATAAAGGAAACTTCAGGATTTTTTGCGTCAGTGTTGGGCGTTAAAGGACGAAGGCAAGCGCGATATCCATCGAAAACTAAAGAGCAATTTGGCCGACATGAGTGATCATAAGCCGATACACCTCAAATAGAATAATTATTACGCAAGCAGGAACGGGTCACGCTTACATAAATGTTCTCCCAATTAACCAATCATCCATCCAGAATAACAACTCAAATTTCCTCGCTATCCTCCATTAGTAATTCAATTGGCTTGCCTAGCTGCTAGAAAAGTATAAGTAATTTTGCCTTAGGAAGAGAAGCAATTCCAAGCACTACTTGAGATTTCATGAAAATAACCCAAATTTAAATTGAAAAGTACCAAGAAGGAGGCTCAAATTGTTCATCGATATAGAATCACTTAATTGTCAAAATCGTTTAAATCTGGTTTGGACTAAAACAAACCAAAATCAATGGCCATTCCAATTTCATTACCGGCACTACTGTGAATCGAATGCGCATTAATAGAAATTTTACAAAAAATATCAAAGAATTTTTTTTTGTCGATCATTTCATCCTTTCGGAATAGTTCCATTTTGCCATAAATCTTTTCAAAATGTGCATATTTAATCTAAAAAACAAATTAAATTTTTAATTAAATGGTGAAAAATGCATTGTTTCCCCTAAGCATTTATGCTGAATATTACTGAGCAAAGTTAATAAAAAAATAGATAATTTTTCTCATTTCGGAGATTTCACATGCTAAGGTTTAATCACCGCAGGAGTAAACCTTCTTTTAAACGGTGCGAGGTGACTTCAGTGGCTAAGTGGGTCATTGGCATGATTTGTCTGCTCTAATAAACCCAAAGATGAACTTAATTGTGGTGAGAAAAAATTTAAAAAAAGCGAAATTGAGGAAAGGGAAAGGATTTATTCTCGATATTAGAAGATTATCATTACCGGATCATTTCTAATATCGTCCTGATGCCCGATTAAATCGGACCATCTTCGCTCTTTTTGCCATTTATATTTATCACCATTCTCCTCTAAAAAAATAACTCGATCTATCACTCGGCTTAGGAAAAGTACTTCAGTTAGCGGCAGATTTGGAAAGACCGATTTCAATCTGCGACATTCGTTACGGTGGAATTTCCATGAAAAGCGTTGGCAATCCTTAAATCAATCAAGTTTATCAAGTTCGACTTCTAAAGTAGAAGATTGGTGATGAATCGTTAAAATGGCCAGGTAATTTCTAAAGGCAAACAATTTTAGTGATTCTTAGCGAATGAAGGGTGAGGGTCATTTTAAGATTCTCTCCTTCACTGGTGGAAGCTCTCGTTGAAAAATGCGACTCTGACGTGGAACTGTCCTGCTTCTTATCCCCGTAATGACAATGAAACCAGCCTAAACAAAAAATCGTCAACCACTGACCATCAATTATTTAGGATTCGCATAATTATAGAGGTGATTTACCTTATCGCAGTACTGCGCAAACTCACACTTTCCACAGAGATACAATTTTCTCTCCTTTGGTATTCGCAGACAATTCGAACAATATTTCGACACTTTATTGTTATTGCAGAGGTAAACAAAAGGTTCACCGAATATCCTTAATCGTTCATAGACACTTTTCTCCATAAATAACGAAGTGATCGCGGAAAGGACGAGCGGAAAGGAAAGGAGTTGCAGCAAGGCAAACTTTGCTTCGAATGCACTGTGTAACAGCGGGCTTACATATTTCCTTCCAACTGACATTCGCCTCTTCTTCAATTTCTTTCTTCTTTACTGAAATATTTTGCTTTCCTCGCAATTTCCTAGATTTTTTTTTTTTTCCTTGCAAATTAGCCGATAAATTTTTTCACAAAAATGTAATTTTGCTAAAAAAAATTCTTAAAAAATTTTCTTTCTTTCATCGGAGAATATTTTTTAAAATCTAGGAAATTACAAATCTGAAAGATTTAATTTTAATTTTTTTTTCAATTATTCAAACTAATGTTGTTTCATCGTTAAAAATTGATAAGAATCCACGTTTATCCATGAAAATTCCATTGGAAATAATAAAATCGATTCCATTAAAAAAATAAAATTATAAAGCTAAAAAATTTTGCAAACGATATAAGTGCATGAATGCATTTGCCTTAGGTTAGCCGAATTATCCCCTCTGGAATGGTCTCTGTTATATAAAATTATAGAGGGTGGAAATACAGAAAGTCGTGCAAGGCGTTAGATCGCAAGGCTTAAAAACGTCTCTGCCAGGTGGCAAATGGAGTCAGCCAAATCAAAAACATTGGCCATTATTAGAAGAACAGCAAAAGAAACACGGAAAATTGGTAGTGCTGAAAAATGTTCTCATTTAGTTTATATAGTTTGCAGTTAATTTTTATGTTTGACATGTGAAATTTCATGAAATTTTATGTTTTAATTAGCTAAAAATATTAAAATATAAAATATATTTAATGAAAAAAATATAAAAATTTAAATTTCATCGAATTTCTCTAAAAAAAAAAAATGACAGCTAAAATTTTTTCCGGAAAAATAAACGAATTTAACTAAAAAAAAACATTTTCAATGTGAATTTAATGAATTTAACAGTTTATTGAATGCATTTATGGCTTGGTGGCAAGGTGATTGGCACTGAGGAATCGGGTGGCAATGTCACCAAAGGGCCAAAGCTTGGTGGCAAGGTGATTGGCACTGAGGAATCGGGTGGCAATGTCGCCAAAGGGCCAAAGCGAAGTGAGCGAGTAGAATGGCCCAGTGATGCTGACGTTCTACGCGTAGGGGAAATCTGTCCTTCCACGGCTCAGTTATCCTTATATCACCTCCTGCCCCAGCAATTCATTGGTAGCAGCATTTTGAACTTCTTTACAGTCTTCTTTAGCCCCTTTCGAACCAATAATCGCATGTTTATTCTTTTAGCACCTCGTCGAACCTCATAGTATATTGCCGCGGTTGCAGCATTAAATTATAAAACTACTACGATAGTACCAAAAGATTATAGTGAGAATTGAAGATTCAACGGGAAAGAGCTATCAAAATTTGTTTACAAATCGCACAGCGACTATCCTGCTTCGCTAAATTATTAATTAAAAAGCTGCAAACATTTTATAAATTCTTGAAACGAAAACAATTTATCTGTAATTTCGTGAAATTATCGCGAGTGGATTAGTTTTAGTTTTTTAATGAGGAAATTAGCATTGTGCTCATTTAATTGAAGAATAATTCTTAAATGGAGATGTTTCTTTACGAAGAATATTCCATTTGGCTTCACTGCATTGGTTTGCCCGGAAAAATTTTGCGAGGGGCCATCAGTTGACGGTAAAAGTGAAGTGAAAGGTCGCCAACATTGCGCGCTCTTTTGAAAGATAGGTTTAGTTTTGCTGAGAATAGAATCGCAACACTGCTGCTTGGAAATGCCATTTCCAATTATAAATATCGAAAATTTCAATATTCGTCATTCTTTTCTTTTTATAACTTCTTTTTCAAAAATTGTTCTAACTTGTAAATATTTCTTCGAGATATTTTTAGATGAAAACAAAAACAAACGATCCGCATTATCTGAAATGCCCAATAAAATACGATTGGGATATTGCGTCGGGTGAAACGTCGTCGAAAGTCATTGCAAAGATTTCTTCATTTCTTCAAGCAAATGGTTTTGTTCGAAATAAAAAAATTACGAGATGGAAAGCGAAAGCGAAGGAGAAGAAGGAGAATGAGGAAGGCGAAGCATCTTCTCATCATTCCGACCAAACATCAGAATTGGCAGTTCGTGATAAAAGTAGTGAAATTTGTGAAAAGTCGACTTCTCACATTCGCAAGGTTTGTTTCTCATATTTGAACGACCAACCATTAACTGTTTTTAGTAATCGATGCTGTATTTCAGTAAAGTTTTTCATTCGTAGTTACTTACGTTATTTGATTAATCTAAAAGACAGAAACAATAATGCTTCGACTTAAACCGATCAAAATGAGTTCATTTCTGTCTTTTGTGAATTTGTTATTAAATTCGAAGGACTAGTGGAGACGAACGTGTTCTATACGTTACGTTAGTTCTTCGGTTGCCGCCTGACGAAAATATCAAATCGATTGTCAGCCATTTACCTCTGTCACTGATTTAATTTTTAGTATATCGTAATCTTTACCACTGTTGTCGATAGAGGCATCCAAATTAGAAATGGACTGGAGGATTCTGAAAGTGAAGAAATATGTAGAAGAAGAAAAGTTGACTTAAAATTTAAAATTGACTCAGTCGCCATTTAGCCTTTGTTTCGTAGAATTTATACGCAAATTTTCATTTAACTGATATTAATATTCGAAATATTTAAATGGCGAAAAATGGTTTTTAACTGGAATTTTAGCAATAAATGTGCTAAATACTTCCCGTGTTAATATAAAATATTCATTTTTCCATGTTCTAAATAGTTTGTTTTTCAGTTAAACTAATTGGGGATTCATAGAAATAATTTATATGATGTTTGAGCTGTGGCTTTACAACTGAATCTACGTTATGAAATCGGTTGATTATAAGTTAAATTTCAGTTAACGCTCTTACTTTAAGAACAATCGAGCAAAATCTGATTTTTCCTTACCGATTTTTTTTTTTGGTTTCATGAATTTATATACTGAATATAATATCTGGTAGCGAGAGGATCCAAATGTATTTCCTTTTCCAGACGGTTTTATGATGAAAAATTTTAGTTTTTTTTGCTTAATCTGTTCTTTTCTAAAATCTTAAAGTATTCAACGTTTTTCTACAATTTTCGAAGGTTTTAGAATTGTAATAAATATTTTAATATTACTCTTATTTTCATTTTTGATTGGATCATTTCCGCTAGTTGACTATAAGAACGGTGATTTCCATCATTTGGTAATAACATAAATACAGGTAGGCATTGCCCTTTAATGATTTACGCCAAAAGAAGAGTCCTTGGCTCAGTTCGATAATCTATTATTGACTACTTTGAAAATGTTTTATAATTTCAACAAATTTCGAGTAAAGTTTGGGTTCAGTTTGGAAATGAAAAAATTTATTTCTCTAAGCAACTTTTTATTTTTAGTCTTCAAGTGTTTGTATTGGCTTGCAATCAGTGTTGAGGAGATTGCAGAGAAATGAACTATCCGCTATATTTATTGATTCGAGCGTCATACAGCCAACAGCTATTGCCACAACGTTAGGACTTGCTTCACAAAGGTTTTTTTAAATTTCTTTAATTAAAGGCAATTTTTGCCAATAATGTTTCGCGTTTCTAATTTTTAACATTTTTGAAGTTTTTGTGGATATCATCTGCAATCTAAATTTTTTAATTCCTTGGATCCACCCTTATATCGAATGTCCAAGTAATAAACGAAATAAGTCTCAATAACCGTTGCTAAAATTGTCCTCCTTTTGGTCCTATCGTGAAATGGCCATAAATTCCGCAACAAGAAGAAAATTCAATTTTCTCTTGATATTTTTTGTTAAATATGATGATTTGAGGAAGTTATATATCTTTCTCCATTTTTGCATATGGTACTATGTGTTGATAAGATCTCAAACGTTTATGTCTAACTTCGCTAGCCTCGGCTGATCAGGCCATGCTCTTTTCCTACTAGTTTAGAATTTGTTTCATATCTCACTAAATGCCAGGTTTTCTGGTACACCAGTATCCTTAAGAAAAATCTGCATTAATATATTTAAGAAAGTCCTTATCTATATAACTAGCGGATCAATCTAATCAATACATAATTTACGCTAGGTATTAGATGAAGAAACGGAAAATGGAAATTGATATCTGATTCCATTTTACATAATTACTGTCATGAAATTCCTTAGTATTCTTGTTTGTTACAGTTGTTTTCACAAAAATAGCTTACTGCTTGAATATTTCCAGTTATAAATTTGACTTTTATTTCTAAGAATATTTTATTTTATTTTCAGTTTCAAGACTAATTTCTATGCTGTTGAGGGTTTAAGCGATGCTTTATCAGTATCATTAAATATGAAAAGTGTTTCTGCTGTTGGATTAACTAATTCTGCCGATGTAGAAGAGATTCGTTCTATCGCTTCACTTCTGCTTGTTCCGGTAAATATTAAGGAAAATGTAAGCTCTTTAAAATTTTTTTCTGTTCCATCTGTATTTCATAAATATAACCACCATTATTTTTGCTGACATTTTCGTTTTTGTTTCATTCGATCCTTTTGTATTCAGGCCAAAAAGATTATTTTCTAAATTGAGCAATATTTTCCATTTTTATTATGGTGAAAAATTGTTTATTAATGTCCTTATTTATTTGGATAGCAAACTATTTAAAGTCTGGTTAAATTCCTGTCAAAAGTTCGAATCCATCACAAAAATATTTCTCCTGCTTCACTGCTGTTTTCTTTTTCTTATCTTGATTAGCATTATTCATCGGTTAAATGTTGAAAATTTATAGAGAATTTTTTTGTTAAATTGTAAATTTAAGATTCCGTTGCTATGCTAGCTAGTAAAAAATGAGTGTAAAAGGAGGTATTTTTTTGATTTTTATTATTATATTATTTTCATAAATTTCAAATTTTTCTGTTGGTTTCTATTGGTTTATTTTTTTTACATTTTTGCATTAAAATTACATTATTTTCAGCGAAGATCTACCTTATTCTCTACATTGAACTCCACATCAACTGAATTAATAGTGTCTGCTGGTAAAGGTAAGAGTACAAAAAAGAAAAAACCGAAGAAAAAGAAAATGAAGAAATTTCATAAAATATCTTGACTAGCATCATTCATTATCTTAAATTTATTATTCGTTTGAGGCGGTCAGTTTGCTAATCTGCTTCGTGATTTATAACATATAACATATATATACATAATAAATAAAGCTTTAAAACTGTATAACGTTGATAAAACAATGTGAAATTCGCTCTAAATATATAAACTATTTACTTGGTAAAATTTTATAGTTTTGAAAAAAAAATAGATTCGACGAATAAAATTAGTATGGGAATAGCACAGTACTAAAGAAAAGCTTTATTGCTGCGCAGAATGCCTTTAGCAGAGAATTTGAAGAAAATTTGCACCATCCACAGAGGATGAAGGGGAGTTTATGTATAATTGTTGTAACAATTCAAACAAGATCCAGCAATCTATCAGCGATCATTTTATTTCTATGCTTATTCTGAATCACTTATATCAGTATTTATCAATATATTTGTTACCAGTGTAAATAAACGCTAATTTATTCATATTTATTTATTCGAAGTACAAAATTTGACTCTTCTGATGTATTTAAGTCTGAAAATAAATTCAAAAATAATACATCTATCGCTAAAGGACTCTCTGGCCAGTGCAACAGCCAGCGGAGCGAGTCTAACCAGTAATGGTGAGGGGAAAGAAAAAGAATAGCATGAATATCGACATGGACTCTCATTTATGTCAATCCAAAGTTAGCTGAAACCATTCGATAGTAGCAATATACATTGGGTAGTTTGATGTGCAATAATACAGTTTTGTAATTATTATGTTATCAAATACGCATATACCAATTCTCTTTGACAATCAGCCAAGGAAATCATAATTCAGTGTTATCAATGTTTGTGATAAAATCATGTTTTTGAAGAACCAGACAGCAAAATTAACAAATTTTATATAATAAATATGCTTATATATACAAATATAACAATTAATGGGCACATTTGCTTGAAATACATTTTAATTGAGACATTGAGATAATATTAAGCAATACTTCGAAATTTAATGGAAAATGAAAGGGTAAAAGAAAGAAAGACGAACATTCTAAATAATGAGATTTGATGAGATCTTGACAAGAATATTTTATATTAAAGGATAGCTGGCCAACGAAGCAATGCCACACATATTCGAATGATTCCTAGCGATATGAAGATAACCATCGATCCCCCACTCGGTTCCCCAGCTGAAAATTCTTATAAATCATTTCCTTGTAATTTTTCGTATTTTAACAAATACGAAAAATTTACGAATTTAACAAATTTAAACAAATTATCAAAGAGGACAAGAATGCGATAAATAAAATTATCAAGTATCAAAAATTTATTTGTAACATCCAAATTGTAGATGAATCCCTGTAAAACTTTGTAGAACTTTTTTACACAAGCAGATACATACCTATTCTTGACAATCCAATATTCTCCATGTTTCGGATCCTTATCATAACCAACTGCTAATAACGCATGACTTAGTTTCTGACTGTCACATTTATCAGATTTGAATATTCCTGTAGAATAATGTTGAAAGACCATTGTAAATTTTAATTCACTAGCTTTCTTACTGTTTTCACTATGGATTAGGCAAGTTTTTACATTTCTTTCCCAATTTTAATTTCGTAATTCACTCAAAATTATTCAAAGAGCAATGATACAAACCGCCTCCATATAATTTCAGTTTTGGATCGCTGGCATCAATGGCTACTGAGATGGGTCCAACAGTCGCAATAGCTTCCATGAGTGCTTCTTCATCCCCCGATTTAATATCAAAGAACCCCGCATCTGTAGCACCAACATGGTCCTTTTTAAATCTGCATTCGCCATCTTTTGCTTCATACTGGTATGATTCTTCGGTATCGATGCCTTTGTTTATTTCGATATATTGAAATGCCTTGAAAAAAAAACATTAATTCTCAACTTATTTTGTTTATTAAAAATTTTTTGCGAAATTTTGCCAAGAAACTGTTTAATTTGGTAATATTTGCTTTCTTATTAATTTTGCTCTATTATGGAAATAATCTTCTTGAAGAAAGAACGCAACAGATCATCTATTTATTACATTCTCTATCTAATATCGTAATGAGGAAACATTTCCATCTTTAATTTCTATATTTTGATTCTAACGAAATAATAATAACGAAACGCCTCTCACCATATTATTTAAAGTAACCAATATCTAAATGTTCCGTACCATTAAATGAAGGAAAATATGAAATCTATGATTAACAATTAACTTTTTTTTCAGTTAATTTTTGAAAATCTTCGTGCAAAGTAATTTCTAGAGAAACTACCGATAATTGTCCATTGTTCATATGGTCAATTTATAAAACTAATGTTTAAGTTGGATTTGATTTGAGATTAATGAAAAATTATTCGATGTTGGTACTAACATCATCCATTAAACCACCGTTGCAACCGTTGTTACTTTTTGAACAGTCGATTAAATTCTGTTGTGAAAGAGGAACAAGCTTTCCGGTTTTCCTCTTATGTTGACCTTCCAAGGCACCAGTGGCGCTGAATGCCCAGCAACTCCCACAATCTCCCTATGATTTATAAAGAATTTTTTATTATTTGTTATATATAATAAAATAATAATTTATAAATATGATAGTTATATAAAGACTGCAAGGATTTTTTTCCAAAGCATTAAACGGTAAGTTTTTTTAAGGCCTATTATCACTCGCCATATTCTCAATATCCTTTTAATCACCTTACCTACCAGATGACATTGTTTTTAAGAAATAAACAATGGCCAAGAATCTTTAGCCAAGAATCGTCGTCTTTGTTAATCTCACTAATAATAACGTAGCGTGGAACCAACATCTTATTTTATTAAATGGTTCAAGGTATATAAATTTTAAAATTGGTCCGAAACTGATAAGATAGTCATGGAAAATAAGTACTAATATTTAAATACTATTACCGAAATTCTACAAGATATATAATTTATGACCATAAGACAAATGATAATAAAGTACGAATTGTGGACTACGAATAATGAGTGGGTTATAGATTTTAGAATATGAATATATGAGCACATAAATATAAGTATATGATAACATTAAAATCGCCATCCAATCGAAAGGAAATTTTCACATATGTATTAATGAAATTGCTCAAAAATTGCATAAATATCAGCTATTAATTCATTTTTTTACCTGATCTTTGACGGGAGTGACAAAACCCTCTTTTCTCCAATCAATTTTTTCTGGAATTTGAGCGTTATAAGGTCTCAAGAAAGTTTTCCCAACCATTTTGCCTTCCTTGCGATAACCATTCATCGCTCCATATTCTTCATCAGTCTGGAATTGACATTTTTTGTAAATTTTAATCATTTATCATTAAGATGGTTATATCCTTTAAAGCACCATAGTTGCATCCTTGCACCTAGCAGAAGGAAATCTATCAATAAGAAACACAGTGAGGAAGAAGCATTTATCTGAAGTGAAAGTGCAGCATTCCAACAGTAAAATGAATCTAATAAAAAATTCTAGGTATTAATTGACTAATTAATGTGCAAATATCAATATATTTAAAAGAGCGAATTCAAACCAGGTCCATGAGGTGATTGAATGCTAGTTTGAATGATTCTTCTCCTCTTTCATAACGCTCATTGTGCTCATAGATTTTTCGTAAATTCTTCATAAAAATAATTTTTCGCTTGATTTCTTCATCGTTTCCGTAGATTCTTTCTAAAAATTAATAAGCAATCGTAGATAAGCGCTGTCTTCAAATTATCATTGGCTAATTTCATCATTCGAAGCCTTTCATTTAATTCAGGTCCGTTTATTTATAATGCAATGATCTATAGTACAACTAAAAAATAATCGTTAGACAATGTCTTGGCTGCAAGACTAACTGTGAATATTTTTGAATCGTTCCCATTCCAAATTCCTGAAAAAAAGCTTTAGTGAGAATTCGAGAAACAATAAATATTGCAAATTTTCTAAAATAATTTGGAAAAAAGATAAGATTTTTTATTTTATCATTCAACTCATTTTATCTCGTAGTAATGAGATAAGCATAGACTGTCAAATTCGGAGATAGTGGTTCGGCTTTTAAAAACGATAAGCCCGTCATCAAAAATCCAGGTGATAAGAGAAATCAAACCGTATGGACAGCAAGCAGTGCAAGTTGATTAGAAATGGTAAACGCTACATTAATGAGCTATTTCTAATAAGAATTTAAAATGCTTACCCATGAACAGCTATAACAAAGACCAGCAAAACGATGTGTAATTTCATTTTAATTCAAAATACAATTACAAAGATTCTAAGCTATTTATACACAGTGATAATCGTAACTTTTAATGACGTGCTTTGTTCAAATATTAGATAAAATATAATCTTTCTGATAAATTGCGAGTAAAAAAAGATAAGTGATAAGAAAATCAGTAAAAACGAGGCCACAATACTATATTATAAATATTAAATAATGAAGTTTTATGTAGCAAATGAAAAATAATTAATAATTTTTGCTTATAAGTTTCAAATGGATCATTTTAAAAATTTTTGTGAATTTGGTCAAATTTTCTTATCGCTCACTGCCATTATTGTTTACATAGCCTCCGTTGGCTACGACCAGTCACTTTTTCTTCTAAAAACTCGCATCATTGCTGGCTAGGCTAGCTCAGCTGGTTATAAGTGTAAGACGTCTCCAAGCTGTTCAGTCAGACGCAGTCGCTAGTAGTAATAGAAGCCATTCCCTTTCCCATCGTCTAAGTACATATATCGCTGGTCTCCTCAAATCTTTCCTGACTATATCAGTCCAGGTCTTGATGGGCCCTCCTCGCTTTCGACCATCACAGGGTTCGGCAAGTAGCGAAACATTGCCTCCGCTGGCCACGACCAGTAAGAAGTTTTTCTTTTATCGGAAAAATTAATAAATTATTGATTTACAAAATAATATAAAATGTTAAATATTTATATTTATAGAATGGAAAATATTAAATACAATGCTAAATTGGTTATTTTTCTTTGTATCATTAAGTACTCTGAAGTTTCTTGTCAAAGAACCAAAACTTTTTTTCAATCTTCAACATAAAAAATTGTGCAATAACAAATCAGCAAAAACATTTAATGACATTTTTTATTGCAATTATTGTGATTTTCATGCAATTATGTTGCTATAACACTGATCGAAAGATTAGCCGTTATCAGTTATTGGTTGGTTATCACCCACTTGATCGAATTGCGTCATTTATTCGCAAAACTGCGTTGATCAATGATTGGAAATGAAATTCAAAATGCTTGACGAAATATTTCTTCAATGTTTGAATATTCTTATCAGTGATTGTCGATCATTAACCATTAATTTTCGATCGCTTAAATTTCTTTAATTCCAATAATCAATTAAAGGATTTTATGGAATCACATAAATTAAAATTCGACTTTCGTTAGAAAAGTTAAAATAGCTGGAAAAAACATAAAAAAGCAGTTAAAATATATGTTTAATAATTTTCAAAATTTAAATTAATGCGACTTAAAATTTTATGAAAAATAAATTAAACCCATCTTATTTAGTTTTGATTAGTAATTTTGAATTCCTTAATTATTTTCAATTCCTTCTAAACTTTTGGATTTTTTAAAACTTATCAACTTAACTATTACACAAAACTGAGGTAACAAAACAGGTTAGATGGAACCCCTAAGCAGACATAACGGAATTCGGGCATTACATTGGTCGGGATATTGCGATTCCCAAGCCACCGGCTGCGGCCGCGTAATTATGACAATTTCATGAAACTGGCAGACTGCATCACTATATATCGGACTGCATGATGAGTTTGTTTTTCACAATTTTGCGATTGTGTGGTGTTTGTTGATTATTGGTGCACTGTAAGAGTACCTTCTTGTCGATAAGTTTTGCACCGTTTTCAATTTTTTTTTCATGGGAATTTGGCTTATTTTAAAGTTGTCGGGATTGATTTCTCTTATTTTTTTCTGAAGGCTCGCCATTCCTAATTAAAGGCTCGCTTTGCTGAGTCGGACAAGTTTTCAAGCCGGCGAATCACTTAGCGATCGAAGCGGCGGGTGCGCTGGCCGAGGGTAATTTGCTCGAGAGTGGAGCTTTCGAAGGAGGTGCTCGAGACGAGACTAACACGCACTGAGCCCTTCTAATCTCTCTTGCATATACCGCTGGAATTACAGTTTCGAGATTATTTTTTAGTATTATTCAAATAATTTTTAATAAAATTAGAAATTGAAGTTTTTCATTGAAAAATTTTTAGAAGTTCCATTTTAAAAGCATTTTTTATTATTTTTAGTCTCATTTAGCATTATTTTTTTGTATTTTTTATTAATTTCCGTTTTATCTTCGTTTTTCAACAATATTTTGGAACATTTTAATGCATTTTTTTTAGCATTTGCCTTGTTTTATTTCGTAAAATTTGTATAATATTGCATTTATGATTTATTGATATTGAATTTAAACGATGAGATTCATTGGGATTCAAATGCACCATAAGTTAATTGAATCGATTAAATTCCCTTATTTTAAATATTTAAAATATTTTATTTGTTTGCCTTTCATCGAATCGAAAAATATTAGTTTGAACAAATTTAGATATAATTTTATTCAAACAAATTATTCCTTTTTATTTTTTGCAATAGCAATAGATGAATGCCGGATGACGCTGGCGACTCACCTGCACTTTTATCGCCAAGAGCCTCCCTGACAAATTTTGTCAAAGCAGTGGAGCGAGGGTAACAAGAAATGGTGAGCTCTCTTAAAAGAATTTAATAGGTGAACGACGAGTTCTTTTCATTTGATTTTCAGTGATTAATGGAAAAATTAAAAATTTCAGTGGTCATAGTAAATAATTTCTTCTATATAAAGAAAAAAAGGCTGATTTTGATTCATCAAAAAATGGCCACTGTTGTTGAGATGACTATTGAAAAAATTGACGAAGTTAAATCACGCCTTGGACGGTTCGTTTCTTTATTTTTCTTTTATTGATCAAATCGTCCATTATTGTTTTATATTTTTCTTTTTATTCACATTTTATTTAATTGTTTCCCTTTGAAGATCTTTGGGTACGCCAATGAGACTTCGTGATCTTATTCGTCAAGTGCGTGCAGCAAGAACGATGGCAGAAGAGCGTGCAGTTGTTGAGCGGGAAAGTGCAAATATAAGGGAAACTTTTCGTGACGATGAAAGTCCATGGAAATGCCGTAATATTGCCAAATTGCTATACATTCATATGCTTGGTTATCCAGCACATTTTGGGCAGGTAAATTGCTAATTTTTTCTGAGATCATAATTAGTCAAGCTACTAAATCTATTTTATTCTATTTTATTCAGGGAATAATGCTTTGTTTATTGTTGCGATGGCAACGTGTCTTTGGACATGATTGAGTGAATAATATAAATATATTGTTGTCATTTCAAATTTTTCTCTAATGTTTTTCTCTAATGTTCTTCAAATGTTTTTTTATTAATGCGATAGTCGTAGTAAGGATAATAGAAAAATACAAGTCAAAAAAATATTGATGTTAAAATTCAGTTCTCAGTTGTTTTTGAAATTTAAAACTTTAAAGTCTAGATGGAGTGCATGAAACTGGTTGCACAGCCGAGATATACGGATAAAAGAATCGGTTATTTAGGTGCTATGTTATTGCTTGATGAACGATCCGAAGTCCATTTATTGGTCACAAATTCTCTTAAAAAGTTGTCTTTTTGTTTTTTTTTTGATTTAGTTATTGCTATAGATTTATTTTAAATTTTATGATTTTTTTTACTTGGTTTTAGTGATTTGAATGCTTCAACTCAATTTATAAGCGGCCTTGCATTATGTACTTTCGGTTCCATATGTTCTTCAGAAATGTGTCGTGATCTAGCCGGCGAAATAGAAAGGTTGATCAAGTCAAGTAACACCTACATTAAAAAAAAGGTACCATTGTTGTGGCCATCATTACTATATATGGTATGAGGGCGTGGAATATTTTAAATTGCTACTTTTTCCAATAGATTCGAAATAGATTAGAAATAGATTTGAAAAAAAAAAAACTTATATCATCTGGAAAATGACGTAGCTTCTTTTGTATTTATTTGTTGTCCATAACATTTTTTCTTTCTTAAATTATGAAAATTTATTGCTATCGAAGGAGTATTCAATTCTAATTGATATATTTCTTTGAATGCATTTGAGAATGATTCTTGGAACCACCGTTCATGACATTAATAAATCTTAAAAATTTTTTTATCCAGGCAGCACTTTGTGCTTTCCGTATTGTTCGTAAGGTACCAGAATTGATGGAAATGTTTATTTCATGCACAAAAGCCTTGATAAATGAGAAAAATCATGGTTATTGTTTGTTTTAATCATGGTTACTGGTTATTGTTTGTTTGCTTGTTTGGTTGGTTATAATTTCTAGCGGTTTTTTTTAAGCATCTTTTTTCAAAGATTAGGATTTAAAATCACATCTTGTAGGAGTTCTTATGGGTGGCATTACGTTAGTCACAGAAATGTGTGAGCGAAGTCCTGATGTTCTCGATCATTTTAAAAAGGTTTAATACTTTCCAAATAAGCAAAATATTTATAAAGTTTGAAATCTCATATAAAATAGATATTTTTCAGTTAGTTCCCAACCTGGTTCGTGTTTTAAAGAATCTTTTGATGAGTGGTTATTCTCCTGAGCATGATGTCACCGGAATTAGCGATCCATTTCTTCAGGTGTTTCATATTCTGCTCAGTTCAATTTTTTCATTAATTTGTTATTTGCTTGGTTCAAATGAAATATTTTACGGATGAAATATGTGATATTAAATAAAGTTTTTTTTTGAGGTTTTTATTTTTTATTATTTTATTTTTTTTATTTTATTTTACGTTTTCTTGATTTTAGATCAAGATTTTAAAGTTATTGCGTATTTTGGGACATGATGATGCTAAAACAAGCGAAGAAATGAATGATATTCTTGCTCAGGTAAAATTATATTGTTAGCATTCGAATCATTTTTTCATTTGCTTCCCTATTGAATCCATGTATCATATACTATTTCAAATATTAATACATTATTTTAATGTGCTATTTCTGTTTTCTTCATTTTATAATTCTTTAGGTTGCAACTAATACGGAAACTTCAAAAAACGTTGGAAATGCAATACTTTATGAGACCGTTCTGACAATAATGGAAATTCGAAGTGAAAGTGGTCTTCGTGTTTTAGCTATCAATATTCTTGGAAGATTTTTGCTCAATCCTGATAAAGTATGTTTAGAGAAAAATATTTATTGCTTTATCTAGTCTTAAACGAAAATTCTTTTATACTATTGACAAAAATTCCAGTTTCTTAATTTATTTTTCATATTATTACAGAATATACGATATGTTGCGCTTAATACATTGTTGAAAACAATAAATGTTGATTATAATGCTGTTCAACGCCACAGAACAACTGTTGTTGATTGCTTGAAGGATCCGGATGTATCGATTAGGAAGTAAAATTAACCTACTTTGCAATCAGAAATTTTTAACAAGAGATATTTTCTAAAGGTGGAGTATTTTTCAGGAGGGCGATGGAATTATGTTTTGCATTAATTAATGAAACGAACATTACTAATATGACCAAAGAGATACTTATTTTCTTAGAAACAGCAGATCCAGAATTTAAAGCGGAATGCGCTTCGAAGATGTATATAGCCACTGAAAAATTCTCTCCTAATTATGGATGGCATCTCGATACGATGATCAAAGTTCTTAAATTGGTTAGATTCATTTAAATTTTATTGAAAATTAGTTGCATTCATTTTCTGAAAATGGTTTCAGGCTGGAAATTACGTACCTGATGAAGTTGTCTCTTGTATAATACAACTTATATCGTCTCATGCTGATATACAGTTGTATGCAGCCATTCAGCTGTACCAAGCAGTAAGAAACGATATTGTTAGTGAACAACCATTGCTTCAGGTTTTGTTTATTTTTTGTTTTGTTTTCATTTTGTTTTTTCATAAGTTTATTTATTGAACATATTTTTCGTAGTTTTGAGGCTATTTTTATTCTTATTATTTTTATTCTTTTGTTTTTCTCGAAATTTATATGTTCTTGTGCTTTTGCCTTAACTTTAATTGTGGTTAATTCCCACTTTTTTAGGTTGCTTTTTGGACAATCGGTGAATTCGGTGATTTATTATTGCAAGCGTCAGAAGATGATTCATTAAGGGTGAACATATTCTCATTTTAGAATATTAACATTGCAGTATTTTGGATTAAATTATTTCATCATAGTTCTTGTTTTGTTTATAGATCGATGAATCCAATGTGATAGCGATTTTTCAACGTATTTTATCTTCGACTTTAACAAGTACTGTTACCAAATCATACGCAATTATGGCATTGACAAAACTTGATACGAGATTTACAACCGCGAATAAGTTAGTATAATCCTTTTGAAGAATTTCGCAATGAGTATAATTTATAATGAGTATGAGTATAAGTTCTCTTTTTATCCATAAAAATTTATTTTTGTTAGGTTCATTCAGTTCAGTTGGAATTTTTTTCTTATTTGTAAATGTGGATTTATATTAATTTATCTCATTTATTTAACAATCTGTTATGATTATAAATCTATTTGAAGTCTTATTCGCCAACTTATATCCGCAAATACCACCCATCTTCATTTGGAACTGCAGCAGAGATCCGTGGAATTTTCTAATCTGTTGCTTCGAAATAATGAACTTAAGTATGTTTTGATACCATAATAGCTGGACATTGGATGTTTCTTTATTCTTTTTTATTTCATTTACCAAGGATTTTTCTAAAGTTCATGTGGTAGGTTTGGTCTCTTGGAGCGTATGCCAATAATCACTCGGAATACATTAAATGCTGCAGCCCAGCCAATTGAACCAAATGATAATATTATAGAAGAAATGCAGCGCAATTCCCACATAGATAACGCAAATAATATATTATCAGCTAATAATGAGGTATGATACGTATGGTTGATTATTTTTTACACTCGATTCGTTTAATTTCATTTAATTATCAATTATTTTAGTTTTTCTCAAAATTCTGAGAATCTTGGTGATTTGGCACATCGTTTGAAAAAATTAAATTTTAAAAATACTGTCTATCTTTTTTATAAAGTGCTTGTTTGTTAATGGGAACAAATATTTACTGTCGATGTGGGCTCGTTAGCGCTTTATTGCTAGTTACTCATAATTACTCAAGCCTGTCCACATGCATTATGAGCTTCTTTAAAATAAATTTTATGAAATAAAATCAATGAAAAAAAATAACTTATAATAATAAAATAATAATTACTTATCTTCAGAATGTGAAAACTGCACCTGTGGATCTTTTTGACTTGATGAATTTTGATGGGACCACAAATAATGCGTTATCTACTGTTGCAGCTCCTTCTAATAATTCACAAATTTTTGATTTGGCAGATAACGGTTTATTTACAAAATTATCCTAATTATCCTAATTATTCGAATAATATACTTTATAACATTGCTCAAAATAATCTAAAAAAAAAGTTTTAAAATTTGAACAATTGAGAGAAGAATTAAATTAATTCTGATTAAAGTAGGTCATTTATTGCAATTTAGGTCTAATACTCAATGAACTAACTGCCTCGAAATCTATGATGTCCAGCGATTCATTCGATTTACAAAATGGGTATGTAATATTTTCATGCACTATGGTCTAATTATTTTTTTCCTGTAACTTTTTAACTTTTAAAATTGATTTCAGAAGTAGCATCAAATTGGTGAAACAGGGTCCATCTACATTAATAATCGACAACAATGGTATAAAAGGTACTCTTTATGTGGAGAGAAATTTTAATGGTAACGAACCAGCATCATTGCAACTTATTGCAACAAATAGTAATGCTATTTCAGTCGATAATTTTAATTTTCAAGCTGCTGTCACAAAGGTTTTTTTCAAATTTTCAATTGTTGTGATTAATTTGAAAAAAAACGGCTGAAAGTTTCTATTTGCAAAAATTCAAGCAAGTCTATTGAATTTCAGGCCTACCAAATTGAAATTATGCCTCCTTCGAGCAGTACCATCCCCGCGAATAATCAAGGGTCAATTTCACAAATGATGAATATTAGGCGGATTGCTTCATCACAAACAGTTAGTTTTATGATTTTCAATAATGAAAATATTTTTAATAAATTCATCTAAAAGTTTGCTAAGTTATTTTTTTTGCTTAGATTAGATTAGTAAAAGTAAATTTCAATCTATTTAATCAATTGCTAATTAGTTTTATTAAAAATTTTCTTCAAAAAAGTTTTTTCTTATGATATGTATTATTTCTGGTTTCGCTAATTGTTTTGCAAAAAACTATTTTTCCTTATTCTTTTCGTAGAAAATAACAATACTGTTCGAATTTTCAGACAGGTTTATCCTTGCCATATACCTCAGATTAAACCCTGACACTGGTAATTATCTAGGGAATAACCATCCGATTATATTGTCATAGAAATGATATGACAGATATTTCCTGTATTCACATAGATTTCGTTTTTCAAGATTTTGAAGTTTCCAGGAGTAAGATTCATCTTGCTAACCTTAACCACAGATTAAACCATAGATTACTTGGCTTTATTGAAAAATCATAAAAGATCATTTAAATTTTGGGAAAATTTTAGCTACGAATGAAAATAAAGGCCTTTTATACTATGAATGGAAACCAACAATTAATTGAAGCCACAGTGCCAAAGATAGAAGGATTAAGTTGAAAAAAAAAGAAAAACTGCCGGTATTAATTCTTCGAATCTTTCAATTGTTGTTATAAATTCATCTTTTTGGGTTAATACTATGTTTATTTTAATCTATTAATTTACCAGAAATTTCTGAAAGCAGTTTGTATGATACAATATTTTTCCATTAATGAATACATATCCTTTGTTATTTACCTGGAAGACAACTAAAAAAAAAACTTTGTAGTGTTGAACTGGGAAAGTTTATAAGTTTTCTTGTTAAGACTTTGGAAAACAAAAATTTTATTTTTTCTTCATGAAATGGCAACCTTAACAAAAAATTCGCAAAAATTTCATAATATATTGCTTTAAAGTTATATTTTAAAAATATTTCAACGGTTTTAAGGTGCAAAAAAAACAATTTTAACATCAATTAAATTGTGTGCTAATCTGCAAAATTTTCGATGTGATTAATGTAGGGAATCGATACGGCACCATAGCAATATAATGTATGATTGCTTTCGAGCGCGACTGCAATATTTCAGCCATTTCTTTGTTATGTTCAAACTGGTGTAATGTTATTTGCATTGTAGTGAGACAAAGATCAGGTAAGACTATCCGTACCTAAAAATGGTAATTATACTGGATAGAAAAAAATGAGAAATATAAAGAAGTTTTTATTTACAAATAAAAAAATATTTAAATTCTGTATATACTGAATCATTCGAAAAAATTCTATAAGTGGAAATTAAATAATAAGATTTTACCTGATCACTAAGCATATAGAATACTGAAACATAAGACTGAACATCATCAGGAACAAGAGGAATACATTTTAATTTCGACAAAATATCTATGCATTTTGAAAATCTGAAAACTCATCACTTCTAATATCTATGGAAAAATCTGCCGTCAGGCCATATAAATTTTCAATAAAGAAAAAATTTTAAAAATAATACAAATTAATATTCAAGAAACTGGACATTTCTTCGACCATTTATTCTAAAAAATTACTTTTTTTCTTGATAATTGAGGAAGAAAGTCGATATATCAATTAGAAGATAGAGTGTCGAAATCAAATGAGAAGAGAGATCAGAAGAACGTTTATAAATACTGGCAAGCCACATAGCAAGATTCCGAGCCTGTGTTCTTTTCTCTGAGTTCGACATTTCTTTGGCAAGGTAATCACAAGCGATGCGAATCGCATCATCATACCGCTTGAATTCATTTATTTAGATAACGATAAAAAAATAGATTAATAATCAGACTTATAAACAAGAACAGATAAAAGAAAAAAAATTCAAAAAAAAATCATCACCTTGGCGGAATGATACAACCGAACTGCGTTGGCCAGATTACCACTAATTTCTGAATCATGCGCAACTTTTGCCAAAACATCGTCTACGATTACATCTGCTGCATATTTATCAATTAAGCCAGTACTTCGCAAACCTCTGTCATCCACAGAACCCAGAATGAGTGAAATTTCATCAGTTAAATAAACAGCTCGGGAAACACATGACAGGAAAAGGTTACCTTCTGAAAAAAAACCAGATAATCTAAACAATGGTAAACAAAACATCAAATGAAGGCATAAATGCATAAAATCAAATGCAAATGCATTTATTAAAGGCGTTATAAAGGAATAATAAAACTGACCGATAGGTGAATCCATTTTCCTAAGAAGAAATAAATAATCCAACGACTGAGGTATGTTAACTAATTCAAAAGGTTTGATATAAAGAAGAATGAGCCGACAGAAATTCAATGAACATTCCATAGGATTATCCGGAGAAATTTCAACTGGAAAACGAACTTGTTAATTTACAAAAAAATAATTTTTTGTAAGAAAGTCATCAAAAGAGAATTCAAATATGGTACCACTACTGACTGAAAATAGATTGCTAATATAAATAATTCCTTAACAAAACAAAAGGAATATTAACAACAACTATACAACTGTAAATAAATACGTATTGGCAAAGAAAGATCATCTGATACAATGAGAAGGCCTTTCAGATATGCGAGAATAGCAATGTGAACAGCGTGACTCATCATGTCTATCCTGAATCACAAAAATGATAAAAATAATTTCTGAAATAATAAATCGTTAATTTCATCGAAAAAGACAGGAAAATAGCAAGAATTATAACCAGTTAATTCTAATACTAAAAAAACTGACTTATACAGTAAACTTATGGCTCGTTCGATCTGTCCCGTTAGCCAAAGTGCTTGAAAAAAAATCAACGGACTACCACCATCACTCGTAAAATAATCTTCTCCTATAATTTTCATTTTCATATAACAACCATCAAGCTGAACTGGAATTTATGAAAATGAGGAATACCTAAAAATTCAATAAACCGTACCGTAATCATTGCCAATAAGTCGCTCAAGTTCTTTGAAAACAGCTGTAGAGAAGGAACAATCAAATGAACATGGCGTTAATTTTTGCCACAGCCAATTTTCGAGATTATCAGACACTTCACTTGATTCATCACCAGTGAAAGCACAATAAACCGCCTTTTTATGAATATCAGTACATGAGCGACTTTCGCTTCTCCATTCCGCTTTAATTCTAGTTTTCTCCTCTGATGAAAGCCTTAAAATTAAACTAAGTGGAGGCATATCTTAAAAATTATCTTTGCGATGAAAGCACGACTTACTTATAGCCTTTTTCTAATGAACTCAAAGATGTGGCAAGTGCTGCACAAGATGGAAGGTTTTTAAGATGAGAATCAGCAATCTTACGAACTGAATCAAAACCGCCACAGCGAAGACAAAGATAAACAACTTCCCAAACTGGATGACTATCAGTACCATAAACACCATCCTTAATTGAAAAAGTGAAAGATATTAATGATTTAAATGATTAAATTAAAATGATGAACGCATGAACGATTATGAATTTATGAGATCCATTTAAAAAAATAAAACACAATGAATAATAGTTCAATTATTATGTTAAAAGGTAAGATCGATTTTCACTTCGGACAATCAAAAATGTTTTTAAAAATCCGGATCCATCTATATTTCTAGCCAAGTGGCTTTCTGAAAAGAAATTGCCATAACCATACTAACAACCAGCTAACCAAAAATATTGAGTACAAACCACTTATTTTTTTTAAAAAAGAATTCAATAAAAGCAAGGGAATTAAAATTTTAAAATGGTAGAAAACACCACGTTGTAACACAAAATACATCACAAATTCACAGCCAAGCCACAAAATAAAAGAGGTAATCTATCCACAAAAAACGATGAGAAAACTGGCAAAAAAATTTCTTTTATAATGAATCTAAAAAACCTAAAAAATGATATTAGGAAGAAAAAAAAGATAGAAATACTAGTGAAAAATACTTAGAAAACAAACTTGACAGGTTGTTTCGGTAGTCTTAAAGTGCTTCACATTTAGAAAAGCATTAATTAAAGGCAAAATGCCCGGATTACCACCACGACGAGCAATGGCTAAATTTCGTTCGACAATCAACTCCATATGATTTATAAATCTTAAATATTATATGCAAGCTATAAATTACAAATAAAACTTCATCACCTGATTTTCTCATAATCTCCTCACAAAAATTACCCAAATGCTAAAGACAAAGTAACTAACTGCTTTTGTAAATATCCAACAGAAGATTCAACTACATGAATCATCCAGGATGTATTTGAGCGAACATTCTTTGCAGTTTCCCCTTTCACAGAAAACTGCGAAACAAATAAAACAAGTACTTGGTCCCATATAAGTATTACACTGTTATCGCGTGTTCGTGCAGCAGCTCCAGCAAACGCTTTCGCCAATTTATCTTCATTTTTATCATAAATATAATCGGATAACTGAAATTTTTCATGATTCAATCGTAAAGATAAAAAAAAAGTTAAAAATAAGTAAAGTTTAAAAAAAACTTTGTCGAAAGAACAATGAGAATCGCAAAAAACATCTGAAAATACAGGAAAATAAAACTCGATAACTGATTTAGCGAATGCAGTTTCCGCAGCATTTGATGTTACTGCGATAATCCTTTCATCTTCAATTCGCTTTTTCTAAATAAAAACCATTCAAAAGAATGAAATGCTAATGAAAAATGCAAATGATACTTTAAAAATTTAATTTATAAAAAATATAAAAAATCATTGGACTGTAATTTTAAAACCTTTTAAATAAAATCAAACTAGCAGTTTAGAAACAACAATATAAACATACAGATGGTGAAGGTTCCACAGATGATTTAGTCAAATTCAAAGCTTTACGCTTTATCTGGGTGGTATCTACAATCTGTTGGTTGAGAAAACTCCGTTCAGCTAAAAGACGAATTTTCTCCGCCGATGCTTGCATTAAATCTTCAAGAAGTTCGGTGCTTCCAGTTGAAGAAATAAATTCAGGTTCTTCCTCTTGTTGCTGCAGTTGCTGGCTTAAAATTGCGCTTTTTTCGGGTGCTTCTGGTAAAGCTCGTTCACCCAGCAACATATTTGCCTAAAATTATTCCTAATAGACCCAATATTTATGGATTTGTCAAAAAATTAGAATAACCAAAAATATTTATGGTGATTAGTGTAAGCTGAAATCAAATATGGATAAATGAACTGAATTGAAAAACAAAAAACTTTAAAAATACATTGAATTCAGCCTCGGGATCTAAGCCACTTCTGCTGTGGAAAAGTGATTCAGTACTTCTGAACGCATTATAAAGCAAAGAATCAATCTGTGAACCGGAACGTGCCTAAAAGCGATAAAATTTCCTCGTTTCCACTTCAAAAAAAACTGAAATGTTTTGATTAGAATTTTTATGGACGAAGGCAACTTATTACAATATTCACTTTGAAAAACCTATAAAATGCAAATTTTTTATAGGTTTTTTCAAGAAGTAACTACAGTGATAATCACCACAAAATTTCTTTCAACTATTAAAAAAAATTTAAAAAAAATAAGAAATTCAAAGATTTACATAAAACCATAATTTTAAGAAGCCAAGAAAGAACGAACCAAGTGATATAAAGGTTGGCCTTTTAACGTTGAAGTGCATAACGCATCAGCTCGATATAAGATATCGCCGAGATCATTATCCATAATAAAAATACTGAAGTCTGAAACAAAGACTTCACCGGTTAATCAATTTGTCCAAAACAAATACAAAAAAATAAAGCAAAAAGAAACTCGGCGTTGAGCACATTTTCCGAGATCTAAAAAGTTTGCCGTTCAACATTTTACACTATAATCGAGCAAAATAAAAGGAAAATCTCTTCTCAAATTTCGAGCTTTTCCACAAAGAAAACCAGAATCAACGCTAATATTCCCATACCGAAACATATATTTTTCATTATTTTCCAATTTGATGACCGAAAAGTCAGTTCTTCTGAGAGCAAAAACATATGGTGCTGACAAAAAATAATATTCCCACATCTGCCATTGAAACTTATTATCATTGTTACATCGTTATCATTTTTATCATTTCTGATTCTGATACTATTTTCATCTCATTTTTTCTAAGAGCGTTCACCATTTCCGGTTAATCATTAAGCTCGCTCCGCTGACTTGTCGCATCCGACAAATTTTGCCAGAGGATTAAATTTTGAAAAGAGAACTACGAGTGAGTCACCAACCACCGCCAGGATTTCTGAAAGGCAAACAGGTCGCCCACCTCCGCGATTATCAGTGAATACGACCGCAGATATTTGAAAGACCGCATTGAAAATTTCAGACGCACCAAAATTTGCACCTTAATTACTTATAATTACAGAAAAAATTAACGAAAATTTGAAAAAAATAGCGAATTTGAACTTTAAATGAGCGAGGCCGATTGATAGTACGAATTAATCGGCGGCCGAATTGCTTAGAAAATCGTCGGTCGTTCAGATTCTTTCACAAACTTTGCTTTGTAGAATATTGGTATTTTGTAGAATATTGGGAAGGAATTTGGGGTGAATCGTGTTTTTCATTTTTGAAAAGTATTCCCATTGATTTTATTCATTTGAACAATATTTCTATTGTGTTTACTCGCTAAGTTACTAAAAATTTCCATTTTTTTTTGAAATTTCCGTTTTTCCTTCTTTTTTTTCTGGCGAAATTGGGACATTTTTTCTATAGGCACTCGCCATTCCTGGCTTGGCTGGGCTCATTCAGCTGGCTCGTTGGGAGGACTCGGCCTCGCCAAGGACCGAAGACAAGCAGTGGCGTGCCGAGAGCAGCAGGCCGTAGAGCTATTCTAAGAACGTTTCGATTCTGTTGGTTTCAAGAGAAATTAGTGCAACTTTCTTTTTTACAAATAGCAAGGTTTATTGAAGATTCTAAGAAATAAACTGGAGATTTACTCATTTATAAAGACTCTCGGATATCAAAAAAAAGCATTGAGAACGTTGGAGATAGGCTCCGCACAGTCGAAATTATCTCAGACACTACTGTTAAATTTAAACTTTATCAGTTAAGCGAATGAAATTATGAAATGAAATTTTTTTGCAAGTCGGTAAAATTGAACAATTGAACTGATAAAATTCGAATGAAATTGCTAATAAATTTTTTCCTTATTTGATAATTTTGACTGATAACTGTTTTTTAATTTCATTTTGATTTATAAATGTTATAATTTTAAATTTATCAGTCAAAGTTGTCGTGATTATTATGATAAGTGAGATTTTATTGTTAAGTGGTACTATGGGTTTTTTTTTTTTGCTTTTCCTGATTCATCCATTCTGTTAAAGAAAAGTTTCTAAACCTAATGAAATTAAACCTCGCCAGTCTTATTTTCGCCATCCAATTTATCGTTGGACCGCTTTTGCATTCTTCAGTTTTCATTCTAAACATTTATTGGTTAATTTGACTATTTTTCTATTTATTAGTTCAATAATTTAATTTTATTCTTGTCGAAGTTTCAAACTTCGCATGATGGAGCATTTTTATTTTCTTGAGATACTCTTTGCTTGATTTAGCTAAATTGATGAATTAATGGATGATAAGCCTTTTATCGTATTTTCGAAATTCTTTTTAGTTTCTCCAATTCATTTCTTATTGTCTTTTGTTTCAAATTTTGTCAAATATTTTTTTGCTTAATTTACTTAATTTACTTTTACTTCGATCATATCATTTTACAGATTATTATTATTGCAAATTTGGTTTCACTTGAATTTCAAGAGAATTTGCTTGCCCGGCGAAAAAGGGAATGTCGCGACGAGGTGGTTTGCGTAAACGTTTAACGGGTGAAAATGATGAAGAATATGCCTTAAGAAGGCAAAAGAATAATGACGCCGTTAATAGGTTTTCTTTTTTTCCTTTTTATCTTTCAAATTATTTTTTATTAAAGACTGAATGATTTTATATACTTTTAAATATTCTTAAAGAAAATGCTTTTAAGTTAATAAAGTATTAATATTGTATTTCAATTGCAATAACTTTTGCTTACGCTAACTTTTACCTTACATTTAGCTAAAAAATTGGTAATTTTCGAATAAGACAAACAATTTGTCTTGTCAATTAGTCTTCAAATTTTTTATTTCATGGCTCTTTTAGGAAAATTGCTCTAACCCCCTTCTTTTCAAGAACTGTTTTATTTATTGAAGGATAAGTAAGGATTGAGTTGAGAACTTTAATGTGCAAAAATGATAAAGGCAATAATGTGAATTATTTGGAAATTTTTTTTTAAATCAAGAAGTATAATTTAATAGCTTGAGAAAAAATATTTTGTTTAAAAAAAAAATAAAAGGTAAACCATTCTTTATTTCGGCAACAACATATTTAGCTCATTTCGCAAATGGTGTAGTGTGAAGATCGACTGATGAGCTGTTTTCAAGCGAAACTGACCTCGATATTTTCTCACAAATTAAATTTACCTCAACATTGTCAAGTGTTGTCGGAGCCTAAACAAATTTGTAATATGTAAAAGAAAATATTTTTATAATTTAAAAATAAAATTTTATTAATTAAAATTTAATTAAAGCGGGGAAGTGCACATGTTTCACAAAAATCGCATATTTTACAATCTCCATTTTAAATTTTCGATGAAATTATTAATTGTTCTAAAAGTGAAATTAATTTTAGAGTTCAAAAATAGTTTTTAATGTGCAAATGCAAGAAGGCTTTTGTATATTCGCTTAAAAATTTGTTATTAGCGAAGTTTCTTATTCCTTTTCTATCAATTCTATATTTTTCTTTGTGATTTTTAATTAAATTATTAAATTTTAAATTTATTAAATTTTATGTAACACAAAAAATTAATGTTTGAAAATAAAAAATAAATTTTTACATTCTACTTTGTAATTTAACTTGATTCCCCTGCTCCTCTGGTCATTTCTATAACTTCTCCGCCCTATTACATCCTTCTCAAATTTTTTTTCTGCGACTGCTCAGAAATTTCTCTAGAGGCGAACCACTTTCTTGTCCAATTTTTTGTTGATTAAGAATGATAATTTAAACAAATTCACACATTTCCTTAATTTTCCTTAAAAATTTCAAAAATATTCTGTGATTTTTTTTGGTCTAATTTGTTTTATGATTTAATAAAATAATTTAGCTTAATTATTTTTTTTCAAGAATTCTAGGACGAGGCAGAAGAAACGCATGGAAGAACGCGATTTAGTGGAACGCGTTGAGGAATTGCGCAAAGAGAATGTAAAACTGGAAAATGAGGTAATATTATTATTAGTTTTTTAAAAGCATTTTCGTATACTTTTCAGGCTAAGCCAAATTATTTATTTAGTTTTGAAATAAATTAAAGAATAATTTCTGGAAGGTCACAAATTAGTATTTTTTCAGGTGGAAGCCCTGAAAAAGGAACTGGATTTTTTAAAAGAAATGTTTGGAATATATGCGAAAGCTAATCGAAATAAGAAATCAGATGATGAGAAAAACTCAGCTAAAGAGTGAAAAATTAATGCATTTTCACCACAAGTTTTTGGTACGATTTTACAAATTTGATATTTTTATAATTTATAGAATAAAATTTTAATTAATTTTTCTTCTGCTTATGTTTGTTGAATATGATTTAAATTTTTTAATAAAATCATCTTCATTAAATGTTTGAAAATAAGTGGAAATAAGTGCTCCAACAATTGACCGAATTAATTAATTGATTTCTTTTTCATTATTGTTTATTATTTATTTCTTCATTTGTTTTTTATTTGTTATGCTTTTTAGGGGTGACTGATGAAATAGATCGCATAAATTTGTGTCGCTGTTTGGATTCTGATGAATTTTGAAGATTGTTTTTCTTTCTTCATCCAAAGTTGCTGCAAGTAACTTAATCCATAACTTAAAAAGGCTCTCTTCATTTCTTCAAAAGCTACTTATGTTTTGTCCACGTTTATTTCCAGTTTTTTTGGAATTGTTTTATCTGAATGTTTGTTCAGACTTCATTCGAAATGTTATGACAATAATTAAAATTTAATTTCTAGTAGGAATATTGAATTGATGAAAAATTATATATCGGTTCTTTTGCTATTTCAGAAAAATTTTTCGATTTTGTCCTTGTACAGACTGTTTATAAATTGTTTATGCGGATGATTTTCTGTTATAAGGTCATTTTAGTTCTGTTATTCACTGATTGCCATTAATAACTTTATTTTTTCGATTTTATTATCAAATGCTACAGACGGGTAGAAAACTTTTCAGTAGTGATAATGAAACGAGTTTAATTTTTTTTTTTTTCGCTGTTCTTTTATGCACTGATTTTTAAACTAGCATATGAAGTGATAAATGGCTTGAAAAGTTTTTCTTTTGTTATCTATTTATTATTTGTGGAAATAAAATTTGTAGAAAATTTCTATTAAACGTTGCCCTATTATTAATATTTGATGGCCATCTTCATCGGATTACTTTATCACTGAGTGAATATAAGAGGAAAATCATTTGGATTAGATTGGAAAGAATGCCTTAAAAATGGGAAAATGATTTATTTTTTTTAGTATGGAGCAGGAAGTTGCGCAGTTTTCTAAGGCAGTGGATGAATGTTTAAAGGCGTCGAACGAGGCTTTAGAAGTTATTGAGGATTTGGCTAAAGACATTAAGAATTACAGTGGTCGAGAAGTAAGTTGCTTTGAGTTATAGCGAGGAGAGAGTGAAGGTTTTGTTATTAAATATATATTACAAATTATAGTATATTATATTCAAATTTGCACACTTAAATGATTTTCATTTTGAGGGGATTTCTTTGCTTGAAGTGAAAAATCATGATCACTTGGCCTACTTATGCAATATGGCATATTTAATGGGACAGATGAGTCGTGCAAAAAGTATACAGGGAGATGAGGCTATCGATCGTCTAATTTATTTACGAATTGTTAGTTTTTTAGCTTTGTTATTTTGTCCATATTTAACAATGAAGTGAAGCAAAATAAATTGATTCCATCGAAATAATCCATTAATCCATCTAATGCCATGAACTGACCCACCCGTCATGTCTTCTATTTCTTTCATCCGTGGGTCAATGAGGCCAGTCAATTAGTGGGTGCTGCTAAAAAAAGGAGAAAAAAGTATTCATATGCATTGGTCGTTGGATTACTTCGATGTAAAATTTTTGTTAAATAATAGTTATGGATTTAAATCTAAGAAATTTTGTTTTTATATGAAATTGCATGTAAAAAGATTAATCGAATCATATTTTTTGATGATCAGCAATGATTCTTTACTTTACAGATTCTTGAACGCATTCGTCCAATAGATCAAAAAATGCGATCACAGATTGAGAAATTATTTTCAAGATCAAGGACGAATGAACAAAGAAAGGTAGATTTCGATAGGTTTTCATTGTCTTTTTTATATTCTCATTTTTATTAATTCTATTTTTCCATCCAATTAAATCGTATTTTGCAGATTTTACGACCTCACCCTGAATTAATGAAAGTCGATGATGTTGGTAAAGAAAGTAGTGATGAAAATAATGACAGTGATAATGAACCATCAAGCGCCAAAAAATATGTTCCTCCCAAACTTGTACCTGTTCATTACAATGGTTAGAATTACGTTTTATGGTTTTGAAGCAGGTTATGCTTATATTGTACTTTTATTTAATTTTATAGTTTTATAAGTTTTGAATTTCCACATATTTTTTATATTTTTTTGATCGTTTTTTAGAAGATGAAGAAGCTGAAAATGAGAAAAAAATTGAACGTGCAAGAAAACGAGCTTTGCAAAGTAGCCTTATACAGGATCTGCGAGCAGAATACACTGATGCTCCAGAAGTGATTATGGTACTCTTTCGTGATATAAAAATTTAAAATTTTATAATTTTAAAATTTAAATTTTAAAATTTTTCGCGTATTTCATCAATATTTTAAAAATTCGTTATTTGTAGGAAGATCAGAGACCTCAAAAAAGAAGGCAAAATGATGACGAAAAACAGAAGTAAGTTTGACTAAAAAAATTTTTTCAATTTTCTCAAATAGCTTTCAAATCGAAGTTTTTTTAGGATTTTTCAATTTTACTGTACTTTTTTTGAACATAATTTATACTTCGTTTTGTTTATAGATACGAAGAAGATTATTTTATTCGTCTACAAGTATCGAAAAAAGAAAAGCACAAACGTCGTTTGGAAAATCGGCAAAATTTGTTGGATGATTTATTGCATTTTGGCGATTATATGGCTTTGGACGCAAAGGATAAACCAAGTCAAAATCTTGCAAAGTCTAGGAAAAATTCAAAAAAACTGAAGAAAGTCGGCAGCAAGAGCCACAAAAGTTCAACAAGACACATTAAAAAAAAGTTAAAAATAAAATCTGGGAGAATTAAAAAATCATACAAATGATAGTGTTCGACAAAAAATTATATGACCTATCATTATCTTCTTTTGTTAAAATAACGAATAATTTACCATAACTTTGTTGAATTTTTATTAAAATTTTCACAAATTTTTTATGATTGGTTTTTTTTCCTTTCCATTGATATTTAAATTTTCCGGCCGATTTATTTATTATTACCACTTCAGAAAAAGTAGAATTTATTCATTATTCTTCCGGAGTCTAAATTGATTTTATGATGAAATAAGGGTCAATTAACTAATTTTCAAACAGCTTTTGAATAGCATTTGCATTGAATTTCATAATTTCAAAAGTAACCAAAACGCTGATAAACATTTTTTAGTAATATTTTTAGAATATTTTTCTTCGTTTTTAAGGGCGTAATATGGTGATTATGTGCAAAAGTATGAGTAAAAAATTGATCCTATTCTATTCCTTAAAATGTTTATTGTAATTATTCAGCCAGTCAAGCCATAATTTAAGCGGTTTAGTCTATAGGAACTCAGTTTCTTTATCCACTCGTATTCTCCATTCTTCACATTCAGTGTCGACCGTTTTGAGTATAGTGGCGTGTTGTAGGTTCTTCCTCCATGGCTTTTTTGCACTTGATTTGGTCGAATTTCTGGTAAATCAGTGGTCGTCTACCATCATGCAAGGAAATTGATTAATGCGAATTGTCTATTAGGCCCGACAAAGTCGGCCAGGTTGTAACGCAGGCCTTGATTCTCGCTGGCAATTATTTTGTCATTGAACTATCCACGCATTATATTAAGTAATTTCCGAAAGGTGGTTTTCACGTCAAAGTGGTAACGTATTTGGACGTTTAGACGTAAATGACGTATACATTCGCTTTTTATACATACGAAGTAAACAACTGAGGATTATGAAATTACTTGCAAATGTTATGAATCTATAAGCAAAAATTATGGAATGGACTATGAATGGACTGCTATATTATGAAATCATATGAAAAAGCATATATATGCTGAGGGCATGGCTTCGATTTCCTACCCTCGGCAGAAGCAAGCATGTTATTGAAAGATTCTGGCAATCCTGACCACCTTGAATAGAAATGTCGCCAGTTCTCCCCAGGGCCGGTATAAAGTAGATTCTATCGGATGAGTTCAGGATACATAAGGATGAATATATTCTTCCTTTCCGAGGAATGTGTAAAAGCAATCACTGAAATTTCTGATGAAAGGATAAAATATTGACGATATATCTTGGAAAAGAAGCGAATATCAGTCTCAGCAGAGGCAAACCAGTCCCATTGAAGCGTCCACCGAAGTGCTTCTTTATCCGTCCATTCTCACCTGTTATACGTATTCATCTACTTTTTTCTCTCATCAGGTTTTATAAAAATATAATTCTTGCAGATTTTTACTTAAATTGACAAATTTATTACCATTCGCAATTTATAAAATATTAATGAAATGTGGCTGAAGTGTTTGACAGTTTTTTTAGAGAGGCCAAAAGTCTAAACATAAACCCATTCATTCCACAGTGGCAGAGGAAGGGAAATAAATAAAACTGGTTCGGGGAAGTACTTTTTGAATCATTCCGACTTTATAAACTGCGTGAAAATATCGTTTTCAGTCGTTTATTTATTAATTTCGGATATCCATAATTTTCATATTTCATAGTAATAAACCTTCATTGCCAACCAAGTATCGCAATCCATAAAAATATTTTTTCGTTAAAAGATATTATTTTGCACAAATAAGGCGTTGTAAGGCGTGAGGGTAGGAGATTCAGTCAACTTCCACGGCTCATTTCTTTAAATTTTTTTTTTATTTCGTTTAATAGCACTCATCGTTTCTGATTTGGATGACTACTCCGACTATTTGTGTGGAACTAGGGATCCACTTTGTGCTGGAAGCGTCCCTTAGGACCCACCGAATTCACCTCTGTCAATCGGCAAAATAAAGTATTAATTATAATAAATATAGTAATTTAATAATAAATTATAATAAATATAGTAATAAATAATAATTTTCTAATAGAAAAATATTCATTTTATTAATGAAAATTACTTATTGAAACGATAACGATGACTATTTGTGAGTATTTTTCAAGTTTTTTTTGCAGATTGATTATTTATATTTATAATTTATAAATTTATTTTCGCATCCTTTTGAAGAAATTATTAAAAAATAAAGCGATTTTTTTGAAATTAATTTTTATGCGAGAGAAATGCTACTGAAATCTGCTTTAGAAAAATCTGCCAATACAAAGTATTCTTCCTTCCACTAACTCGTGCGCACCGTTACTTTTTAATGAACGATTTATCGTCTCCAAAAAAGTAACTTATTTATGACTTCAAACTGACCTAAATTACTTACACCAAAACTGGTACCAAAGTTTTTATTTTTCTATTTTTTTTTCATTTTTCATTATTACTTGTTGCCTCTCCAACGCAAACGAACCATTCATTGCTAAATGTTTATTGTCCGAAGAAAATGACTTAAGAAATTTGAAATTTGAAAATTATTATGTATGAAAACAATTTAAGTATTCTTCGAAAAAAATAATTTTGTTAAATAAAATAAGTAATTCGAGGAAAAAACGATTTTGATTAAGCAGTAAGTAAGATTTCTTAGCAGAATTTTTCTTTCTTCTGAAATATTTAAAAGTACTCATTTGGCCTCATTTCGGGCTAAAAAATAGATTTTTAGTAAAATAAAAGTAATAATTATAAATTTGAGAATACTTAAATCGTTTTCGTATATAATATAATAATTTTCGAATACTGGAATTGTCCTTCATAAATCCGAGTGATGCTAGTGACTCATCCTCATTGGCAAAGCAAAATTTATCTGGTTCGACGAGCCAGCGGAACGAAACTAAATAGTGTGCGCCCTTAGAAAAGTTAAAAAAACAAATAAATATGTTCTTATCAACGATTTTTTATATCGCTGATAAAATTTATTGATAAATCTATTAATCTAATGAATCTAAAACGAAATAAAATTGAGTATAAATTTTTTGAATTCAAAAAATTTCATTTAATTTGTTTGAAAAAAATGTGAATTAAATTTTGTTTTCCATCGAAATTTTTTAAAAATTATTTCCTAAACTCGCATTTGTATGGTAAAATATATATTTGTTTTTTTTCCATCTCTATGGTAAAATCGTTTGATAAATTTAATCCGTTTTCATAAAAGATTTTAATTGTTGTTAAATATCCTATAAAACGATGATGATTGTGATAAAACGATTTCGAGCTTTTCGGTCTCATAACACATCAAAAAATAACAAAAATCCCCTCTTCTCCACCTCCTAAGCCCGTCGATGGTGGATCAGCCTACGTGAGCACATATATGGAGACTTTTACTTTCCACCTCCTAAGCCTGTCGATGGTGGATCAGCCTACGTGAGCACATATATGGAGACTTTTACTTTCCACCTCCTAAGCCTGTCGATGGTGGATCAGCCTACGTGAGCACATATATGGGGACTTTTACTTTCCACTTCCTGAGCCTGTCGATGATAGGTTAATTTACACATGGAAGCAAATATATCGCATATTTCTCAGTTTGATAATAAGGATAATTCTTAAGAATTAGTCGTCGAAAAAGATTTTTTTCTGATTTTCCCTTCAGTATTTCTTCCGTCAGAATCTCTTATTTTCAGTTTTTTTTTGTTGCAAATGTTTCTTAGAATTATCTTTTATTCGATTCTTTTTGTTGAAATTTTATTTATTGAAATGAAAAAAAAAAGCCATTATTATTCGTTCTATTTTGTTTGCATATATATATTAAAAAGTACCAATCAGGTGGCTTATAGTAGCGATTTGCGTGAGGTTGAAATAATAGGTGAAAAAAAAGAAACATAAAGCGAGAAAGAGAATTCTTCAAAAACCTTATCAAATCCAACATTAACACTCGAATTGACAAGTTAGAAATTACTTAGTTCGTTTCTTTTAAAAAATATCATTTTGAAAGTTTGTTCTATAGTATTTTATATTTAATATTTTAATATTTAATATATTTTAATAATATTTTCAGATCATTGGATTTTGTTGTACATTTAAATTTGGGCCAACTTTACAGACTTATAACAACCAACAAATTAACATAACTATTTAAAATTTTATAAGTATAAATGAAACGCTTTTGGCATGCAGTGAGTCGAAATTGAGCAGTATAAGATTCTACGTGCAACGCATTGGTATATTTCGAATTAAGACGGTGCAAGAAGCATTTTGGCATTTCCTCATTCGTTTTACTCGGTGCACAACGTCTTCCGAAACAACCTCTTGTGTCTCCACTCTTGGATAGGACGAATAAATGTTTTATGACAAGGTTTGCTGTATGCTGATTGAAAGTTTCAAAGCGGCGGTGAACGCTGAACGAACGAGAATCGAATTTCATCTAAATTTTGGAATTGTCTTCAATGGGAAAATGATTTTCCACTCGAAGAGCTGCGATACGAAAGCTCCGCATTTTTACTTAGTTTGGAGATTGTCGACCGGCAAGTGGGGCATTGTGATCGGAAACAATAGAAACCTGGCATATGTTGCCTTCTGCTGGCCATTATTTATTATTTATTCATTCCTTCTTCTTTACTACTATTGTCTTATTTATTTATATTCATTCTTTTCTTCAACGTTTAAAATAATAGAATTTTTATAAAACAAATAAACCTGACGGTTGTCCCTCTTCCTCCTCTAAGTGAATCGCTTGCAAAATTTTCCGATGCGGCAACTTAATGAACTGAAATTGAGCTGAAATTGAACTGAAATTAATGAACTGAAATTAATTAAATATGGCCTCTGTGCTTAGAAAAAAATAAATAAAATATGTTTTACAGTTATATTTTTTAAAACATTAAATATTTCCCATAAAAACTTTTTTAGATTTTAACTAACGAGAATGCACTCTTTAAAAAAATTATTTTTATGCTTGCAGATGTTTCTTTTTAAACATTTTTTTAAAATATATTGTATTTGTTTGATTTATATTTTAGCTTTTTCACATTTACGTTCAAGTCGAAATATTTGAATTGC